ATTTTCACAATGTCAACAAAAACACGTATTCGAACCGCATTCCATTTAGAATTCCCCTTATATATATACATATCTATAAATCGATCCAAACTGAAAACCCTAGATTCTTTTAACTCCACCGCGCCGCACACTTCTACGCTCCCATGGACTCCACCAACTTGCCGGAGACGACGACTCCGCCGCCGCCGGCCGACGACATGATCAGCGGCCTCACCGAAGACCTGCTGCTGATAATCCTCGGCTTCTTGCCGGCGGCGAGGGACGTGGTGCGCACCTCCGCGCTGTCGACACGGTGGCGCAACCTCTGGACCCTCGCCCCGGCGCTCCGCTTCGACATCGGCCAGCGCAACCTGCGGCTAACCGACGACGCCGAGGCCGCTGCCGCCGGCCGCCTCGTCGCCGCCGTGGACTCCGTGCTCGCCCGCCGCGACGTCGACGCCGGCGCGCCCGACGTGAAGGACCTGGAGATCAACTTCGTGTTCCGATCCGTTGTTGGCGACGACCAGACCACCGCCGCCGGCCGCTACTACCGGTCCTCCTCCCGGTTCGGGCTTAGCCGGCACCGGCGGCGCCTCCCCATGGACGTCGCGCCGGCGAGCGTCGCCGCGTGGCTCCGCTTCGCCGAGTGCCGCGTCGCGGGGGCGTTCTCGCTCGAGCTCCCCGCGCTGTCGTCGTCGAGGAAAGTGGTCGCCGACCTCCCTTGCTCCGAGAGGCTTCGCACGATGCGCCTCACGCTCGGCGGCGCCACCGTCGGCGTCCCGGTCGCCGGCGCCGGCGCCGACGCCTACCGCTCTCTCGCCGACCTGCTTCTCAGCAACGTCTGCCTCGACGACGGCGACGGCGTCCGCCTCTGCAACCTCCTCTCCTCCACCAGCTGCCCTAGCCTGCGTCGGCTGGAGCTCAGCGTCATCACCGGACTAACCATCCTTCGCCTCGACGCCGCCGCCACGCTCGAGGAGCTCCGGCTCATCGGCCTCCGCGACATGGAGCAGATGGAGGTGGACGCGCCGGGCCTCCGGGACCTCACCGTGAAGGGCATCACCGTCCACCTGATGGCGGCGGCGGCGGCGAGGATCGCTGCGCCGAGGCTGCAGGCGCTGGCGTACGAATACAGGCGCTCGTGGGACGACTGCCAGCTGATGGTGCTCGACGGCGAGCGCACCGCGAAGCTCCGGGTGCTCTCCCATGGCGACCCCGCCGGCAAGCACAACAACGGCGCGGCGGCGTGGTTCCTGCAGCACTGCGCCGCCGCGGATCGCCTCGACATCGAACTAAAGATGGAATTTGATGAGGTAATACTTCTGGTTATAAAATGTTTTGACTTTAGTCAAAATCAAATTGTTTTAAGTTTAACTAATTTTATAGACAAATATAGTAATATTTATAATACTAAATTAGTTTCATCAGATCAATAATTAAATATATTTTCATAATATTCTTTTGGGGTTGAAAATGTTTTTTTTCTATAAATTTAGTCAAATTTAAAGCAGTTTGAATTTGACCAAAGTCAAAACGTATTATAACCTGAAACGGAGGGAGTAACAAAATGGACCATGACTTCGTGTAAATTTTACAGATACTTTGAATTCCATCTTACATGCAATTTTTTGGAAAATTATCGGAAAAAGAAATATGGTACATAGAAATTTAAATGTACTATCGAACACTTTTTGGTTCATGTGAAATTTCATTGCGAATCTCAATTGAATTTGCAGGAAAAACTCCATGCGGGTATTGAGGATGTGATCAAGGACATACCGAAACTTCCGAATATAACAGATTTGAGAATAACGGTAGCCATGTCCACAGATACCATGGATACACACGCGGTAGCCATGTCCACAGATACCATGGATACACACGCTATCGGGGCAAGCACAACCAAGCTCATTGCAAAGTTTAGTAGAATTGAGTATCTCTCCATTGACATTGACAAAAAGGTGAGATCAATTATCATAATCGTCTTGTGGTTTCTTTGTAGAATTTTGTTTCGATGGAAATAACTTTGATTTTTACTAATTAGCTCTAGAAACTAAGTATAATGTTTATGGTGAAAACACCATTTCTCATGTTGTTTTGTTTTGATGCAATTTGTAGGCCGGTGATTGTACAAATTTTGACTGCAAATGTGAGCAATATAAAGGCTGGAATAACAAGATGATTCCACTAGAGCGTCTTCGGATTGCAGACATACGTAACTTTCTGCCTTTCGATGATCAAATAGAATTGGTATGTGTACTAATTGCGAATGCGCCACTACTGGAGAAAATGACTGTAGCATTGCATGAGTTATATGGAGAGACGAGACAGAGAAGAAATGACATGGATGCATATTTATGCATTCCAAGCTGTGGGGGTCGTTGGACCCCTTGTTCTGGTAATAGGAGTAAATTTGGTAGTTTTACTAAATATGAGTGGAAACCATATAAACGGAAACGGTGAGAAGAAAGGATGGAGAAGATCAATGAGAAAAAGGGGTGGAGAAGGTTTGAAATGCCTCATTAGATATGTTTTAATTATTGATCGATATATGTAATACATATATGAAATATATGCATGTATCTTTGGAGTTGATCGATTATACCTACTCCGTTTCAACAGAGTGAACAAAATTAATGTTATAGTGATTTTGCCATTTTTACCCTTATCGCTTTTAATCCATGTGTCTGTCCACGCCATTCCGCCGCCGAGGCGTGAGGAGGAGCACGGCGCTGCGCATCTCCCTCACGCCGTCGCTGGCCCTGCACCGCCGTGGTGAGAGGTGTGGTTGCGGAGAACCGGTAGTGGTGGTGGTGTTGATCTGAAATTGCTGCTGTTGTTGCTGATCTGAAGCTGTCTATTGATGTGAACTTCTGAAGGCGTTGATGGCATGTTGTTCCTAAAAACCATGTGCTTTCACAGAGAACTGATTTCCTGTTTGCCAGCAACAATCTTGGGTATCAAACATTCGATTACTGAAAAAATCAATTAGAAACATTAATATTGGTTTGTTACTTTCATTCATATTGTCATACTCCAGAAGATGTACTGACGCTTGAAAAAAAAATCATATCGTTCAAAAATCTGAACAATCTGCCATTCAGAACGTACAAGGAAAAGTTCAGTTCACTGTTGTGCGCATCCTGCCATGCAAAGCATGTGTGACCGGTATGTCCTGTCCGTACAATACAAAGTATCTGACTTCTTCCTATTGACATCATTCATAGGTTTAGATTTTCATTATTCCAATGGACAGCACAGACACGATTCCAAATTGCGATACTGATATAGTATATTCAAATCAGACACCAGTCCAGAGTTGAGTTTCTAAAAAAAAAAAATGGAACAGTACAAGCACTCAAATTCGGCATGCTCACATGAAAATTTTCTGCCAAAAATTGGTAACTTATCCTAATTACAGAAGGTGTGGTGACCACTTACATGTGGACCTCATTTTTTTTCTACTACTACTAGGATGCCACATCAGTGAAACGCCGAAACCAACCCTCTATGCTATCATGGGACCTAACTTGAACGGTTTTACCAAGATGAGGGGTGAAGATTTCTAATATTACGGTTTAGGGATGTCGATTAAACTCGACGTAAAAATGAGGGATGACAAGTGGATTTATTCCTTTTTAACAGCCATACCATCATAGATTTGCATAAGTTCACTTAGCTCCCTCATCATGACACCAAGGTTGAATTACGTCCTCGAACAGCAATACCAAATATAATGTGTTTCTCAATTTATAAAACCAGTGTAATGAGGTCCCAAGCATTATAGTGCCAAATTTTGACTGACGAGTGGGACCATGTGGACCCCATATGTTAGGGCTATAATTCTTCTTCCTCCAACCTCCCATCTCTCTCTCTCTCCATCTCTAATTCTTCTCTCTCCATTCCCCATCTCCGCACGAAGAGTAATCAACTAGCTTTCACAAAGAGTACTTGTGTAGTAGGCGTGGGATATGATTTGAAGTGAATTTGTCTGATCGATCTGACCGTAGAGTTCGTCGAGATCCAACTGGTTCATTGTGAATTTGTGTAGCCGGCGCCGTTTCCTCCATCTGGTTCTTTTGGTTTTGTCTTCTTGGTTGACATCGCCGTGTCGGGGAATAATGGCAAGAGCAGATGTAGTCTCGCTGCTATCTTTTTTGTTGATGCTGTCATGCCAAGGAATAGTAGCTAGATAGGATTTGTAGCTGGCTACTGGGTCGCGCTAACACAGTGCAGGGTCGACTGCGGCCCGGTGAGCAGTGGTGGCGGATTCCTCGGGTAGCAGCACATCCGTAGTAGTGCAGTAGTGCTTCTCGAAGGCGGCAGTCTCGGTGTTGCAACATCAGCGCTTGGAATTTGCGGCGGCATGTCTGGAACAACGACATCGTTTGCATAGAGATGGCAGCGGGCGGCGCTGCGTGCAGTTCAGCCGACATGGGATGACTTCGTTCCATGGTCACGTGGGAGGCTTCTTGAGGTAATTTTGCAACAGCATGCCCTGGTGGGCAAAAGCCACTGCAAATCATAAATGGGGAATGGAGGAGAGAGAATAATAAAAAATGGAGAGAGATGGAAGGTTTTTTTTTAAAGATGGAGATGGAAGGTTGAAGGAAGAAGAAATATATCTGACATGGAGGTTCACGACTTTACGTGGGTCCCACTTGCCACATTAGTCAAAACCAGACGCTATACTGTCTGGGACCTCGGATATATCGGTTTTTGAAGTTAAGAGACACGTTATATCGGATACTGCGGTTCATAGCACGTAACTTGAACTTGACGTCAAAGATGAGAGACCTAAAGTGAACTTATCCCTCACAGATTACCACTTCCTGCAAGCGGTATCGGCGCTAAAAAAAAAGAAGCCCAAGACATCCTCCCCCCAGCCCAAGTTCCCAACCCCCCTCTAGGCGGCCCACCACACGGCCACTTCCCCCCGGCCAGGCCCATCCGGGCCCACGGCCTGCGTCACGCTTGGGGAACGCATGCGAACCAGGAGCGAAACCCTAGATCGATCTCGAGGTCCTCTTCTATACTGAAAAACACTCATTCCTCCATCATTCGATCTCGAATTCCACCCGCTCCCATACTTCCATGGACACCGAGATCACGCAGGAGACGGCGGCGCCAGCGGCGGCGGCGGCGGACGTCGATATCATCAGCGACCTCACCAACGACGTGCTGCTGATAATCCTCGGCCTCTTGCCGGCGGCGAGGGACGTGGTGCGCACCTCCGCGCTGTCGACGCGGTGGCGCCACCTCTGGACCCGCGCCCCGGCGCTCCGCTTCGACGTCGGCCCGCGCAGCTGGCGGCTAGGTGGGTGTGGAGCCACCGACGAGGCCGCCGCCGCCGCCCGCCTCGTCGAGGCGGTGGACTCCGTCCTCGCCAGGCGCGAGGGCGGCGCCGACGTGAAGGACCTGGAGATCAACCTCGTCCACCACCGCTCCGATGGCGGCGACAGGCCGCCCATGTGCCACCACTACGCCGCCATGTTCGTCTCCTCCCCTTCACCTTCACGGCACCGGGAGGAGCCGCGGTGCGACCTCCTCGCCGTGCCCCTGGACGTCGTCACGCCGGCGCGCGTCGCCGCGTGGCTCCGCTTCGCCGAGCGCCGCGTCGCGGGGTCGTTCTCTCTCAGGCTGCCCGCGCTGTCGAGGAGGATCGCGGCCGCCGGATCTCCCCCCGCCGTCCTCCCTTGCTCCGAGAGGCTCCACACCATGCGCCTCGCGCTCGGCGGCGCGGCCCTCGCCGTCCCAGACGCCGTCGCTGCCGCCGCCTACCGCTCTCTTACCGACCTGCTGCTCAGCAAAGTCTCCCTCGACGACGACGGCGACGACCTCCGCCTCTGCAGCCTCCTCTCCTCCGCCAGCTGCCCTAACATGCGGAGGCTGGAGCTCAGCGACATCGACGGCCTGATCAACCTCCGCCTCGACGCCGCCGCGACGCTCGAGGTGCTCCGCCTCATCGGCCTCCGCCACATGGAGCAGATGGAGGTGGACGCGCCGGGCCTCCGGGAGCTTGTCCTCAAGCGCATCTACGCCCACCTGATGGCGGCGGCGTCGGCGTCGTCGGTGAGGATCGCCGCGCCGGGGCTGCAGGCGCTGACGTACGAGTACGACTACGCGTGCTGGGGCGGCGCCTTCCCCATGGTGCTCGACGGCGAGCGCACCGCGAAGCTCCAGGTGCTGTCCCATGGCGTCCCCGACAAGGACAACAACGGCGCGGCGGCGTGGTTTCTGCAGCACTGCGCCGCCGCGAATCGCCTCGACGTCGTACTGAAGATGGAATTTGATGAGGTAATTGATAACAAGAAGGGACCATGTCTTGTGCAAATTTTATACAATCTTTGAATTCCATGTTTGATCTTACATGCAAAAACTCTCGAAATAATACTGTACATACAAATTTAAGTGTGCTGCCGTACACTCTTGGGTTTATGCGGAATTTTGTTAATTGTGACTCTCAATTGATTGAATTTGCAGGAGAAGATGGAAGAGGATATTGAGGATCTGATCAAGGATATACCAGAAGTTCTTAATATAACCGACTTACGAATAACGGTAGCCATCTCCACGGGAACCGTGGATACACATGCAATTGGCGCAAGCGTAACCAAGCTCATTGCAAAGTTTAGAAGAATTGAGTATCTCTCCATTGACATAGACAAAAAGGTGAGATCAATTATCATAATCATCTTGCACTTTATTTATAGAATTTTGAGCATCCCTAGCTACAAACTCAATTGGAAAGCGGAGGCACAACCAAAGCAATGTTTCCTAGGATGGATTATCCTACACCCAACAGCGTTAACTACAGAAAACTTTGTTGGTTAGACATTGGCCTTTCAACTGGATTTGTTCTCTTTGCACATTAGCCTTTGAAGATACTGATCACCTATTTAGAGATTGTGTTTACACGACAACTTTGGGACAAAATCTCATACCAAAGAGGTATTGCAAATTCGACGCCGACTGACTCCATCTCCAATTGGATGCTCAAATATCAAGATCAGGAGCAACAAACCAAGGAAAGGTAATTTGGGCGCTCTAATCATGACATGGTGGCATATTAGGCTACAAAGGAATGAGAGGATCTTCAAAAGAACTCGAAAAGAGTGTATGTGTATCACAAGTCGCTCAACTCATCTTAGATGATACTACTATTTTTTTTAGAGAAGGGTATATTTTATCTAGTCTATATATCCAACCGGATATATGTAGCATTTTTAAATTAGGAACTTAGCCTATTAAATAGGAAACTTAGCCTTCAAATAACCCAATCTGAAATTCGCTCCTATGGAGATTTGAACTCAGGACCTTGGGATACTACTCAGGTTACTATAACAACTAAGGTACATGCCCTTTCACTGATGATACTCCTATTAACCATAGAGAATTGGCCTTCAAACCACACCCTGAAATCTCAATCTTCATAGCACCTGCCCTCAGCCTAGTTGTTAACCTTTCTTCACTTTCACCCCCTTTCTCTCCTTGATGTACTGCTATGTGTTCGTAGTACTCTAACTTTTGTATTGTTTTTATTCCTTCTAATATAACCAGCAGAACTCCAGCCGTTTATCTCTTAAAGAAATATAGAATTTTGTTTCATTGGAAATAAAATTGATTGTTACTAGTTATCTCTAGAAATCAAGTATGATCTTTACGGCGAAAACACTGTTGCTCATGTTGTTTTTTTTATGCATTTTGTAGGCCGGTGATTGTACAAATTTTGACTGCAAATGTGAGCAGCATAAAGGCTGGAGCAACGAGATGATTCCACTAGATCATCTCCGGATGGTAGACATACGTGACTTCCTACCTTTCAATGACCAAATAGAACTCGTATGTGCACTGATTGCGAGTGCGCCGGCACTGGAGAAAATGATTGTAGCATTGCACGAGTCATATGAAGAGACAAGAGAGCGTACAAATAACATGGAGGCGTATTTATGCATTCCAAGCTGTGGTGGTCGTTGGACCCCTTGTGCTTGGAATGGGGGTAAATTTGGCAGTGCTACTAAATATGAGTGGAAACCATGTAAGCGGAAGCGGTCAGAAGAAGGGGTGGAGAAGGTTTGAAATGCCTTATTACTGTTCGATATGAAATACCTTTATGAAATGTATGCATGTATCCTTGGAGTTGATCTGTTATACTCCCTCCATTTCGATATGTATGATGTTACCGACAGAGTCGACAAACTTAATAATATAGTGATTTTACCATTTTACCATTTATCCCTTTTAATCCATGTGTCCATCCACGCCAGCATCGCTGAAACCCTAGACAGTGAGAAGGAGAACAGCACGTGCGACACGGCACAGCTATCTCCCTCAACGTCGGCTTGCTCACCATCTCCCTCACACTGCCTCTGGCCCCGCATCAGCCGTGGTGAGAGGTGTGGCTGCGGAGAATAGGCGGTGGTTGACAGGGAGCAGCAGCATGCTGCTGTTGCTGATCTGTAGCTATCTTTGTTGATCTCAACATCTGAAGGCGCTGATGGCCTGTTGTTCCTAAAAATCGTGTGCTTTTGCAGGGAATTGATTTCCTGTTTGCCAGCAACAATCTTCGGTGTCAAACATTCAATCTCTACTATTATAAAAACTGAAGATGTTTCCGCAGTCCGTCATCCGTGTTTGAGTCGGTTATAAAAATTGAAGATGTTTCTGCGGTTCGTCATCCGTGTTTGAGTCGGTTTTAATTTTATGTTTTGGTTTTAATCTATATATCTTCTCTACTGTTACAAAAATTGATGATGTTTTTACTGGTATTTTGGTACGTCATCCGTGTATAAGTCGGTTTTTAAGTTCTTTTGCTTTTAGAAATACATATCCGTATTTAAGTCAGTTTTTAAGATCGTTCACTTTTGGTAATACATATATGTATTTGAGTCGGTTTTGAAGATCGTTCACTCTTGGTAATACATAAGGGATCATATAAGAAATCTGTTTAAAAAAACTCGCATGCTAACTTAAGACGATCGGATTCCTAACTGCAGCTCATGATTTTCTAAAAAAATATATGTCCAAGCAAACTCCCACAGTGAATTTCATCTTAACTAAACCATATAACAATAACAAGATTCAAATAGACTTCACCCGTTGCAAAGCATGGGCATTTTTTCTACTTACTGAAAGAATCAAATAGAAACATTAATATTTATTTGATACTTTCATCCATATTGTCTTACTCCAGAAGATGTATTGATACTTGAAGAAAATTCTTTCTCATGCTAGTAGGGCATTGCAGATTAATGCTTGGTTGCCTTCAATTCCTACCTAGCTATGGGTTTCTATCAGTTACTTCAGAGTATACACCACAAAATGGATTCTGTGGGAGGTAGATACTATTAGGATGGCAACAAGTTGAGAGGTAAGTACTACATGATGAGATGGTTTGACATTACTTTTTCCAAAGAATTTGGAGGACTGGGTTTTACAAAAACTAGGAAGATGAACACTACTTTGCTTGCTAAATGGATTGTAAAAGTGAAATTAGCTGATAAGAGTTTGTGTATTGAACTTTTCAGGAAAATAATACCTACAAGATGGTGTTGTCTTTCTATGCAGGGAGAGTGGGGTATCACAATTTTGGAGAGTGATCCTAAATACCACGAGGTGGCTAAGAATGGACTCGGAGTGACATTAGGTGAGATGGAACCATGGTTTTAAATCTACTACTATAGCTGCTGCTATCTCTGGCTATAGCTATTTGAGAATGGATCTAGCTATTTGCTCTCATGGAGAACAATTTAACCGTTATAGTTGTCTGAGAAGACCAACCGCTAAATGTCTTAGCCTGCTATTAAAAACACTAGATGGAACTGCCCTCTTAAGACCAAATTTCTCTTGCTCTTTCAGATTAATAACCAGCAAGAGATAATTATGGCTGAGGTGTTAACAAAAGGCAGTAGGGCTTTATCTTTTAGAAGGTCTTTTGGGCCACAAGAGGTGGAAGAATGTGAAGAAATCAGGTTGATCATAGAAAAACTCCCTCATCTCAAGAACCTGACATCTTAATTTGGGGTTTGGAGAGAAACAAGAGATTTAATTCCCAATCCTTGTATAGAGCTTTGACTTTTAGAGGGATACGAGACACTTGGACATGAGTTTATTTTGGGAGGCCTCCTGCCCAATGAAAATTAAACATTTTATTTGGCTAGGAAAAAGGGATAAGATTCAATCTGCTGAACAGCTCAAAAAGAAAGTGTGGGAAGGGTCTGAATTCTGTCAACTATGTGGGTCATCTTTGGAAACTTCTAATCAGATTCTCTTTTAACTGCCGCATTGCTACTTTTGTCTGGTGTATCTGTAGAGATTCTGTAGAGATGCTTTGAGTTAGAACAACATCCCGAGGAGTTCTGAAGATTTCTTTAGGCTGGTGGTAACTGGTAACTAGAGTTGGCATAAAAAATGTTAGGGTGAAATTAGCTTTACTAGCTGCTGTTTGTAGAAACTTGTGGCTTACTATAGAAACAACATGATCTTTACAGACAAACTTGTTTACATTCCTCTTCTTCTGCAGTGGACTCCTCTGCTTCGCCACGAAGAGAAGGAGATGGAGTTGCTGGTGATGAGAGTGGGTGTTGGGTGAATCAAAGTGACACCCAAGGCGACAAGCTCCGCCTCTGATTAATTGATGACAACAATGGGGAGAGGAAGGTATTACTTCTTAGAAATTATATGTTATAATTACTGATTATTGCAAAGCGTTTTCTTATGGAAGGAGTGTATAGTATCTTTGGAGTTGAGTAATTAGATTCATCAAAATGATAACTAAGCTGTTAATCCTAGCTCCCTTTAATTGAGGTATAATTTCTCCTAAAATTAAACACCGAGACCAAACTAATCAAAAGAACGAGATATATGATGATATACAATAGGAGATGTTCCAACTCAATAATACTTGTATCAACAATTAACAAGAAGAAAAACAGTAAGGATGTGTGCACAATTTGATCTCACTACTAAAAAACCATTTTTACACCCCTCTTTTACTTTTACAGTCGGCATAAAACTAAACACCTCACCTAGAAAAATACACCTAGTTCACCTGGCTACAGACCATCTGTGAGTCTAGGGCAAAGGCCGGCAAAGGCAAGGGGTGTAGGTCTATAGCTCTAGGTGGCGGGACCTCGGTCCCCTATGCCAAGGTGGTGGCGACGGACAGGGTCAAACGAAAGGGGATGGGGGCGTTTAGGACCGGCCTCAGGATGGGAACATCGGTGGTGGGCCGGCCACTATACCGCTAGATCTGGTGATAGTTGACCTTAGGACCGACAAATTTGCCACCGAGGGCCTCGGTGGCGACGTCCTTGGCAAATGGATCAATGATGACGGTGCAGGGACGGTCGGCAGGGGAATCGGCTAGTAGTGAGTGACACAAGGATCCAGTTCCACTAGTGATTTCCTTTTTGTCAGATACACATTAATAGAAGAAGAAACCACTAGTGAATTTTAGAATATTCTGAATTTCTGGATTTTTTTTAAAGGAGGCTTGGAAAGAATATCATTTGCATTTTCCAAAGGGCTCCTTTAGATCGTAGGAATGAAAAAAAAATAAAGGAATATGAAAACACATGATTACGATAGGAATTTCAGCTGCCAAACAGAGTATTGCAAAACATAGGAAAAATATAGGAATTGCCGTTTAATTGGAAAAAAAACATAACAATCGGATGAAAAAGATAGACTCAAAGAAAATTTCATGAGAGGTTAGAGTTTTTTCTAAGTTTTCTCAAAAACTCTATAGGATTATCCATTCTATAAGATAATGATTTCTGCTGCTGCATGTGTGTCTTCTCGTATATCCGAAAGTACCCTGCAAATATCCATGCTGCCGCTGCTGCATGTGCAGAACTCATCAAGTCGTCGGCGCTCCAGTCCAGAGGTTCCTGAAGCGGACGTTGTCGTTCACGGTGCAGGGATGAAATTTTCAGTTGGAAATTTTTGAAATTTCGAGAATTTCGCGCCCCTCCGGCAAGCAAGTATTTCGAGCAAAATTTTTGAATTTCTTAAAATATTTGTGAATTTGGTCATAATTTATTCAAACTCAGTATAAATGTGTTAAATTTCAAAAAGTTTGTTTCGAAATTTATCCGGAATGGAAAACCCCTGTCACTGTCACGGAATCGATCGTTGTGTACATGACTACATGAGACACAATACGAATTGCATTAGAATTCAAAACCGAATCCAAATCGGTAACTAAAAACCAAGCTATGTGTATATAAGAGTAATGAGGTCAAATATATAAGCTTCCGAGTACGTTGGTCTCCATGGACTCCAAGAAGATGAACGGGGCGATGACTTCGCCGGCGGTGGCCGCCGTCGATCTGATCAGCGGCCTCAGCGACGACGTGCTCCTGCTCATCCTCGGCTTCTTGCCGGCGGCGAGTGACGTGGCGCGGACATCCGTGCTGTCGACGCGGTGGCGCCACCTCTGGGCGCTCTCCCCGGCGCTCCGGTTCGCCGTCGGGCCGCTGTCCGACGCCGACGTCGCCGCCGCACGCCGGCTCGTCCCGGCCGTCGAATCCGTCCTCGCGCGGCGCGACGCCGGCGGCGGCGCCGACGCCGACGTGAAGGACCTGGAGATCTCCTTCCCGCACGACCGCGCCGCCGCGGACGACATCATCACGCCGGCGCGCGTCGCCGCGTGGCTCCGCTTCGCCGAGCGCCGCGTCACGGGGGCGTTCACGCTCGAGCTGCCATTCGAGCTGGACATGTTCGGGCGGAGCCGGAGGCTCCTCCCCCACGCCGAGCTCCCGCGCTCGGCTAGGTTCACGGCGATGCGCCTCGCGCTCGGCGGCGCGGACCTCGCGGTCCCCCCGGCCATCGCCGCCGCGCGCGCCGCCGCGTTCCCGGCTCTCACCGACGTCCACCTCAGCCACGCGCGCCTCGACGTCGGCGCCCGGGGCGACGACCTCCGCCTCTGCAACCTCCTCTCGTCGTCGTGCTGCCCCCGGCTGCGGCGGCTGCGGCTCAGCCACGTCGGCGGCCTGCCCACGCTGCGCCTCGACGCCGCCGCGACGCTCGAGGAGCTCCACCTCCGCCACCTCACCGGCACGTGGTGCCTGCAGGTGGACGCGCCGGGCCTCCGGTCGTTCGCCGTCGAGGAGACGCGCCTCTACTTCGGCCCGGAGCCGGAGGCGACGACGAGGATCGCCGCGCCGAGGCTGGACGCGCTGACGTACAGGTACAGCGACCCCGGCGGCGAGACCAACCTGCGGTTCAACGGCGGCCGCGTCGAGGAGCTCCGCCTCGCGTCGCACGCCGTCCATGGCGGCACCAACAACGCGGTGGCCGCGTGGTTTCTGCGGCAATGCGCCGCCGCCGCCGATCGGCTCGACGTCGAACTGACAGTGCCAGTGGGCAAGGTAAGGTGCTCTACAGCCTCTACTGCTCTCAGGGTTTGAATTCTTGACATGCCTGTTTTTGTCGCCGGGCCCCCCGAAACAACCAAAATCACCGGAATTTCGGTATTTCTAGGCCGAAATTATTTCAAATTTTAACGAATTTTGAATAAATTTGAATAAAATTTGACCTAATTCACAAAAAAATCAAAAAGAAAACGAAAATTTCGGGCGAGATTTGTCCTTGTGGGGGGGGTGAAATTAGAACCAACTCAACCCAATAAAAATCAAAGAATTCGAATTTATGTCAATGTTCGTCCAAATTCAAATTCTGGTGGAACTTCACTCAACATCCAATTTTCGCTGAAATTCAGATCAGGTTTCATGAAGTTCATGTTAACTCAATACTTTGTCTAGGCCAATAAAATATTGCTATAGAATTTCAGAACCTTGTACATATATACCTTTGCCCAAATTGTATAACATGCAAGTACTATACTCTACCATGTGTACTCTCTCCATTCTGAAATAAATGCACTCCTCTAATTTAAATATTATCAGAAAATTAGCGTAGGAGGTTTCCGATGTATTCTATTTTCCTTTAAAACTTGCATATCAAACTCGATTTCTTAAAATGAAAAGGAAATCGACACAGGAGAAACTTGTCCTTTTTTATATTAATTCATACTTAGTAAACCATAAGTAGTGGACAAATTACTGCTATGCTTTTGTGGTTTACAACATTTACCATTGCATTGAACTTATAGCTAGGAATATCTAATAGTTGTGATCATTTTTTTTTCAGCTGATCATAGATCATGAAGATATAATGAAAGATATACCAGAACTTCTCAACGTTACCGACTTAAGAATAAATGTGGAGGCATCAATGAGTCCACATAGAGCTGGGGCCAGCCTAGCCAAGCTCATTGCAAAGTGTTGCAAAGCTGAATGTCTCTCTATTAATATCAGCGACCAGGTATAATTCGCTTGGAATTTCTAAACCCAAAATTGGTATTATAGCATCAAAGTTCTTGTTTGCATCGATTTTTTTTTATTTTGGTACAATTTTAACAGCATTAAAAGCTATCTCCATTCCATCCAAATTTATGTTACTGGCAACTATTAAGTCAACACGCAAATGTTGATGAAACTATTATCTGACATTCTGACCTAGATTAGTGCTGATCTAATTTGCAGGGACGTAATCAGTGTGTGAATTCTATGTGTATCTGTGACCAACCAGAGGGTTGGGAGAAGGAAACGATCTCTCTTGAGTGCCTTCGAATTGTGGAGATCAGTAGCTTCCTACCTTGCAAGGACCAGATACGTCTCATGCATCTGCTACTAGCAAGTGCGCCGGTGCTGGAGAGGATGACCGTAACAATCTACAAGCAATATGAAGACGCCAAGGATTTGGATCTTGGAATCCTCGGTTTTAGGGGGAGATGGTCATATTCTGGCCCAGAATATCATCGCTCTGGTTTTAGTGTTCGTTATGAGTGGACGCCGAGCAAGAGGAGGAAAGTGGTCGAGATGAACCAGGAGGAGGGGAAGCTTTGAAAGACATGGTTCCTTGTAAATTGTAGTTTTTGTTGTTGAGTGAAGCAAATGTACTATTTTTGAAGGGTGATTTTACCGTTTCTAAGAAGGTAACAGAAGGTTACTATTGTGAAATTTTAATGTTTAATAAAATGTACTATTCTACCGTTTATTGTAAAATTTAGTACCTTAAGGTAAAATTTTGGTACCTACAAATACTTTATTCTGATTTTGTTGTTTTTAATCAAATTGTAATTTTGTAATTCACAGTTATTTGTCGTGCAAACTCTATATATAATAACGGGCTATAGCTTTTCTGAAGTAAATGCCATAATAAATTCCATTATTTTGAAAAGATTAAGTCTAAACATAAACAACACAGATGTTAATGAAACTACGAGGGGAAAGGAAGAGAGAGGAAGGATGGTGTAGGAGGCGTCGTCATCCTGAAATTCTTAATCATATAAACCTATACTAGTCATCTATCCTCGGTTTTAGGGAAAGATGGTCATATAAACCTATTCAAGTCATTGCCAAGTTCTCTGCGCTCTCTGGTGTTTCCACTAGACCTACATGTTATAAACTACGAGTGACAAATTTTTAATTGTCACATCTTAAAGGTGACGAATATGCCCCCATTCTCTTCTCTCCAAGGGAAAGGAAGTAGTAACGGGGAAAACTGATTAGAACCCCTATTTAGTTCAAGTTGCGCTTCATATTCCCTTTCATTCCCACAGCTAGTGGCCGTTGCCGGCGAGGTCGCCATAGAGACCTCCTCTTTCTCCTCCTCCTCTTCCACCTTCCCTGACTGGGAGATGCTCGATCGCTCCGTGTTCTGCAGGGAGGACGACTCCTTCCCTTGCGACGACCCGACCACGGCGCGCGGCACCAACTCCAGGGGCCACGCCGTCTGCGTCTGCTTCCGCCTCCATGTATCGCCGTGGCCGTCCAAGATCCACATGGAGTGGCCCGCCGGCATAGGGGATTACGATTGGGTATGCGTCATTGCAGGCACCACAACGTCATGCTCCTCCAGATGGGCTACCTCACCACCACCTCCGGCTCCATGATGCTCAACTACTTCCTCTACCGAAGAGGCGGCTACCACCGACCATCGTTGTATCGGCTGCCCCCTCTCGCCGGCACCTTTGCCGACCTCGAGGCTAGGGCTGCCGCCTCACAGAGCAAAACATGCGCAAGCTAGATTGCCTGGACTTGGGCATCCTGCGCCGCAGCAATGAGTTGAGGCAGGAGCTCGCCATAGTTGAACTTGAAATGATTAGGTCTGAACAGCCTAAGCTCTGTGTCTGGCGCAGCGAGTGGTGGGAGTTAAAGTGGCCACCAATCTTCCCCGTGGGCGGAGGCAATCTGGATGTGGACAAGCTCACCTGGAACTGGGATACTGACACGGTCATAGCCTTTGGGAACTACCTGTGCTTTGTTGATTACTGCAATGGTGTCCTATTCTGTGACGCATTCGACGACAACCCAAAACTACTATACCTTGAATTCCTTTGCAAGATCCCTGGCCTTGATCGCTTTTACCATGGCAGAGCATGGTCAGATGTATACCAGAACGTTGGTGTAACTAACAACCATGAAATTTTTATGCATTGTTCGTGATGATGGCCAGGTCAATGAAGAGCTTGCACCCTCCTTTGGTTTCACAGTGAGTTGTTGGATCTTGAGGATGGGAGAAGGTGATGGGAGGATGACCTGGGTGGAAGAAAACAAGATCAGACCTGATGAGATCTGGGGTTTATGAGTTTAAAAAACACTCCCCTGCAACATGCAATACCTTGCGGTACCCTTTGCTAAGCTTGGATATGGCTAGCATTGTTTACTTTGTGTTGAAACAGAAAGGGGAGAAAGATAGGGGCTACCATTATGATGATACATGGATTGTTGCCATTGATATGAGTTGCAAGATTGTGGGCGTGACCTTTAGATACATCGAGGCGGTAGAGAAATCCACTCTTGAGGTCACTCGATGTATCGAGCACAAGTACTGGTACTTCGAGCCTTTTCTTCATGTTGAGTTTCCAGCATATTTCCACCTTGATGATAGGTAATTGAATATGATGCAACTTGCTCTGTACATGTGTAATGTCTACTTTTAGTAAAATCAGTAATTCAATACTATAATATAATCTCCCATGTCTTTTAATCTACAGACCCTATCAACAAACTCAATACCCTCTCCTCGCACCATCAATCTTGCCATAAAACCACCTTCCATGATTATAACTGGTAGTCTAGTAGACAATCACATGTAGGACTGGTCACTGTGCATATCTGTCCATTTGAGCACCAACAATCAATCTTCCGCACTATCAGTCTCTAACACACTTATAAAAGCCCACTAGCAAGCAGCATGGTCTCTTATATTATGTTACTTTATCATTTTTAACAATTAACTTGCATATGTAATAACTTTTTGAGCAAAGTGTATGTACATTTGTATCTATAATATAGTTCATAAAAGATCGGTCGAGACGATTAGGCATTTTAACTTGGCCCAATGAAAAAGAGAATCTCTAGTCTATACCTATATCTATGCTCATTCCAAAGCCAGCATGCAGATTTGCGAGAAGAACTAATTTAACATGGTCTATTTTCGAAATAAGTTTTTGAAAAGAACCAATTTGTAAAAACAAAACGGTGGTTACTGTCTAGTGTCTACTGCTTCTCTCCTCTCCCCTCTTTGACCCCCCCTCTCTCTCTCTGTCTCACCGGCCGTCCCGAAGCTGGGCGCCGTGGGCTGGAGAAGCTTCGTTCGCCGCAGGGTTTGCCAAGATGCTGCGCTGTCCGAGCTGCCATTTCTGGTTTGTTTGGTGGTTTGGATTCTGCAGGTTGAAGGGTCTTGGATCTGGGCATCTGGCGCTAGCTTACCATCCGGGGATGCTTTCTTGGGAGATTCGAGAGCCCTTCAACGTCTTCGCGAGATCCGTGAGTTAGTCCTTCTTTCCGGTCCTTTTTGCCCAGTCTGGGGTGAAAATAACGAACAGATCAAGCAAAGTTGCTGCTTAATTACAGACAAATAGAAGCTAAGAAACTGAAGTTTCAGCTGATTGTGTGTCGTTTTGTAGAAAAAAAAACCCCTTTTGCTAATGATGGAGGGCTGAACAGTAGTTGGCAAACGGTCAAAGGATGCAAGATCTGGTCTTGCAGTAGATGTGATCATGTGATGAGTATTAGTGTAACTATTAACACATTTTTAGTCAATAATGAGTGACATGAGATGCAAGAATGTGATATTAGTATATTACTACTAGCACTTCTTTATTGTAAACTTGAGCACGGTTTCTTTTTTTTTTGTTGGGTGGCATTTTAGTATGTTTCTTTTGCTAATATCTCACTCATTCTAGCATTCGTTTTCTACAAATATAGGGGATGGAGTGATGGACCATCTAGTGCAGTAATGCAGATTTATGCTCTAAACGATTTATTCAACAATAGCATGCAGATATCGCTGTCCACTTCCAACCTTTCGTTCTGTATGTTAGCCATCAATCTTTAATGTTTGTCTGTTAAGCAGGTTTGTTCTCTTCGTCAATTTATTCTTCTGAGTTGCTAACATGTAACCATTCCAACTTGAAAAACACCCCCACAAGAAACTTCAGTGCATTTCCTGTGAAGATGTGAATAAAGTCACCCTTATCTATTGCCTGCAGATCAGATGGGCTGTACGAAATGGACAGGAGAGATAGGGACAATTTCACTGATTGCGAGGTCTGCCCAAGTCCACGTTCATTGATTGGTTAACTGGCTGTTTAGCTTACTGAAGACTTGACTGTGAATCATGGAAGACCATGTCTTCCACCAATTAGTTTTCGAATAGTGCATTGCTTGGCTCAAATACACAACACTCTGTTGAGCCTTGTGCAACCCAAGTTATCTTGGCTCGGGACAGAAGCAAGTTCAGCAACATGAGGCATCTTCCTTCTTGCAGGTTCATCACCTATAAGGAACTTCGGTACATTCCGTGTAAAGATGTGAATAAAGTCACCCTTATCACCTGCAGATCAGATGGACTGTGATAGCGAATTAGGAACAGGAGAGAAAGGGACAGATGCAAAGGCTGATCGATGGGAAAGTCAGTTTCATTGACTGGAGGTCTGTATAAGACATAAGTCCACTTGCATTGTTTGTCATTTGGCTGTTTAGCACTACTTTAGCTTACTAAAGACTTGACCACAAGCCATGGAACACCAAATGTTCCACCAATCATTTTTTTTAAATAGTGCATTGCATGGTCCAAAAGCCTCAAATACACAACACTCTGTTGAGCCTTGTGCAATGCAAGTTATCTTGGCCCGGGGCAGAAGCAAGTTCAGCAACATGAGGCATCTTCCTTTCTGCAGGTTCATCACTTTGTCTGTCATCTTCTTGCTTAGCATCCCTTTGCTTGTTGCATCCGTTCCTCAGGACATTCTTTCTCCTGGATCTTCCATCCCCGTGGAGGACAACTCTAACATGTTGGTCTCCCCCAACGGATTGTTTTCGTGCGGCTTTTACGAGGTCGGTGCCAATGCTTTCATCTTTGCTGTCTGGGTAAACCAATCGATTGGTAAAACAGTTGTCTGGACAGCCGATCGAGATGTGCCAGTGAATGGCAGAGGATCAAGGATTGAGCTGAGGGATGGCAACATGGTGCTGCTGGACTTCAACAGCAGGTTAGTTTGGAGTACGGGCACAACCTCTGGCCAAGTGCGTAGCGCAAAACTTCTTGACACGGGCAACCTCGTCCTGTTGGGTCATGACGGCAGCCGCATATGGCAGAGCTTTGATTCACCTACTGACACTCTTCTGCCGACCCAGCCAATCGCTGCTAATTTGAAGCTGGTATCAGGAAAGTACATGCTTTCTGTTGATAATAATGGTAGTCTTGCTCTCACATATGATACACCGGAAGGCCATAGCAAGTACTGGCCAAGAAATATAAATGCGACACCATTTAGTGGAGACCAACCTCAAGGTCTTGATATGCTTGGTTGCATCTCTGCAGGCAACCATATCAGGTATTGTGCATCTGATCTAGGTTATGGAGTTTTACGGAGGCTGACTCTTGACCACGATGGCAATCTTCGGCTCTATAGCTTGCTTGAGGCTGATGGCCATTGGAAGATTTCATGGATTGCTCTTGCAGATTCTTGTCAAGTGCATGGAGTGTGTGGAAACAATGGTATATGTAGGAATCTAATGAATCCCATTTGTGCTTGTCCTCCAGGGTTTGTGTTTGCAGATGTATCTGATTTGAGTAAAGGTTGCAAGCCCACTTTCAATATCAGTTGCGACAAGGTGGCACAGGCGTATTTTGTGGAAATTGAGAAGATGAGTGTTTGGGGTTATAACTCCAATTACACAGCATCAACAGCATTCGATGTTTGCAGGAAAAGTTGTTTGGATGATCTGCATTGCGAAGCTTTTTCTTACCAGTACGGTTTGGGAGGATGTACACTGAAGAGTTCACTCTACACTGGGGGATTTACTCCCTCCGAGATCTCAATAACATGCATGAAACTTACTGCTGATGCGGCTGTGCAGAACAGTATCGATTATAAACCACACGGTCCGTATCTTTCTTGTCAGGGCAGGGGTTTTTCTACATCTGCTGATACCAAGGCCTTCCAATGGAACTACTTGTACATGCCTATTGGATCTATTTTTGCAGTTGAAGCCATTCTATTCCCGCTCGCCTGGTGTTTTCTGCGCAAGAGGAAACAGGACTCTATCTCGAGAAATGACGGGTTTGCTCTGATTCGCGACCATTTCAGGAAGTTCACCTTGAAGGAGCTGGTAGCTGCCACCGCAAAGTTCAAGCATGAGATTGGAAGAGGCGGTTCCGGGGTCGTTTACGAGGGTATCTTGGATGATGGGAAGAAGATAGCAGTGAAGAAGCTACAAGACATGGTGCAGGGGGAGCTGGATTTCCAGTCCGAGCTGAGCGTCATCGGTAGGATCTACCACATGAATCTCGTCAGGATGTGGGGATTCTGCTCGGAGTGCGGGCACAAGCTCCTCGTCTTCGAGTACGTCGAGAACGGGTCACTGGCCAAGCTGCTGTTCGACACGGCGAGCACCACCGGAGCAAGGCTCCGGTGGGAGCAGAGGCTCCGTGTTGCGCTCGGCGTGGCGAGAGGGCTGGCCTACCTTCACCATGAGTGCCTGGAGTGGGTGATCCACTGCGACGTGAAGCCGGAGAACATCCTCCTCGACGAGGAGCTGGAGCCCAGGCTGGCGGACTTTGGGCTCGCCAAGCTCCTCAACAGAGGGAAGGATGTGCAGATGCTGTCGCGCGTACAGGGGACCAGGGGCTACATTGCGCCGGAGTGGGCGTCCAATCTCCCCATCACGGGCAAGGTCGATGTGTACAGCTTCGGCGTGGTGCTCCTGGAGATTGTGAGGGGGCTCCGGGTGTCGGATTGGACCGTCGTCGACGGAGAAGAAGAGGAGGTGGAGATGGTTTTCAGGACAACTGTCGCGGTGCTGAAAGAGAGGTTGAGAGGCGAAGATCGTTCATGGCTCCCGGGGTTTGTCGACCCGAGGCTGGACGGCAACTTCTGCCGGTTGCAAGCGGCGGCAATGGTGGAGCTCGCCGTCGCCTGCGTCGAGGAGGAGAGGAGCAGAAGACCCAACATGAAGCTTGTAGTGGAAAAGCTCCTTAATTTCTTGTGATAATTTCTTATGATCCTGGCAATCCATAGTGGTGAGTGTCTGAGCGGTGAACGGTGACACTTCTGTTAAATCCAAAAAAAAGTGGTGACACATCTGCCATGAAAATATGCCTGTGTAGATGTTTTCATCAAGCTATCTTGTGTTCAATAGCTCTGATCTCATTATATAATTCATGAAAAGAATGGTGTTTGATTATTATTATATACTCCCTCCGTTTCGAAATGTTTGACACCGTTGACTTTTTAGCACATGTTTGACCGTTCGTCTTATTCAAAAACTTTTGTAAAATATGTAAAATTATATACCTACATAAAAATATATTTAACAATGAATCAAATGATAAGAAAAGAATTATTAATTACTTAAATTTTTTAAATAAGACGAACGGTCAAACACGTTTAATAAAGTCAACGGCGTCAAACATTTCGAAACGGAGGGAGTATAATTCATAGCTCTGCTCTCATTCAATCATAATTTGCTGCATACATGAGTAATAATTTGTGTCTCTAGTTTGTTTTCTGTGTTTATGTATTCAGTGGCATGAAATATTGTGAAATGCATGCTGCTATAAACAAAGGCAAGGTCATGCAGCATGTAGATGACATTTGTTCACAGTCGCTCCAAAATGAGAAAGATAGGCTCATTTTTTAGACAGAACAGAAATGAAGATTTTTATATCAATTTGCCGACACATCTCAGGTGTCATCACTTTAAAGCACATTTGCATCCACATTTCTGTAGAGAAAACCGTTCAGGTTCTTAAGCACCTCTAATAATATTTGATTGCTGATGAACCCCTGAACCCTTGCTGTGTAAGGATCTTACATTCTTACTGCACATGCACGGATCCTCTTCTGCAGAGGAGCAAAATGTTACTACTCAGTGTGCCGTAGCATCAGTATCCCAAACATACAAACAGATGATGAGCTAACACACCACACATCACAGGGAATTCTGGGTAAACTGGTTAAAAAAAAGAACTCATTCAGCAGCTACAGCTACATGTACATGGCCATCATCAGGCATTTCTTCTACATCCAGGGTGGCCCCTAAAAAGCCTTCCCAGTTGTTTGTTCCTACACTACCAGAAGTCAAAATGAAGCCAATGCGCTTCATGCAGCAGGACAAAAAAAAAAACTAGTCTGTTACATGCTAGGCTAGTGAGACACCGCGCAACGGATGATGTTGCATTTCTACGTCTCATCCAGTCAGCTTAAGGCAGCAAGAACGGCAGACCTTCAGACCTCCCAATCTCCCATGAATCAGAGACTGCGACGATCCAAATGCTGGAGCCTGGAGAGGTCTGCTTACTACCCTGGTGGCAGGAAGTTGACTGAGAGCAAGAACAGGGAGGCAGGCGCAAAATGGGTTCATCGCTTTCCGCTCTTTGACCTTTGTGCTATCAAGCGGATTGCCCGCTTTCCCAGCTCTATGTTCTCAGACCTACCATTATCTAACTGAAGGCACAAAGTGCCATTGATTACATTCGAGACTACCCCCTGATGCCTGCCAAAAAAGGAATATTTTAGTCATCAATTTCCTGCAGTCATATTCATAAAGTCTTGATGCCATGAAAGTTAACTAAGTCCATCAATGAATTAGCCTTTAACAATAAATAAAATGCATGGATAAAAAAAAGGAAGGTTATTCGGGAAGATTACAATGAACACAGACTAATTGTGTTAGTGCCAATGGACCAAAAAAATGTACAAGGAAAAATACCAAATAATAGTTCGTGAGCTGAGTAGACGGCTAAGAATTACTTAATGAGTTCAGGGGCCAATACATGCCATTTTAGTTCATTAGCTGACTAGAAGGATAACAATTACTTAATGAGAATAAAAGTGTTGATATACTTGACATTACAGTGTAATAACAAAGTGGTATCATAAATTCAGGATAAAGAGCTCACCATTTGCCATCAGAAGCTAGCTGGACCTCAATCCTCTTCCCAATCGCATCCTTGCCCAACTTGCGCAGGATCCAGTTCGCATCCATTGCTTCTTCTCCTGTGCTCTGCTCATGTCTCTTGGCAGCTGGAGCCTTACTTTCCGAACCATCCATCTTGTCTAATGAAGGTCTCTTCCTCTTTGATCTCTGGCCTTTAGCAACATTTAACTCCTCTTGCGGTGAAGCCCAGGTGCCCGGCTCCTCTGGTTGAGAAGACTGAGTGCTTGGCTGCTCAAAAATTGGACGTTTAAATTTAAGCTTGAGCAATGATGGCTTCAAGCTGTCAGGAGAGTTGTTCACAGAAAATGAAGCATTCCCCTGGTTCTCAGTCAGATGATTAACAGATTGTTTTTGTCCAAACGATCTGCTTCTGGTACCACTTTCACTTGCATTTTCCATTGCAGAAACTATAGCATTGCTCCTTTTTCCGGTTGCATGCTTTTTTGAAGCACCTAGATCTCCTAGAAGGCTATTTTGTTGTACTCCAGTCTCTCTAACTAGCTTCATTACACTTTTTTCTTTTATTTCACTTCTAGAGCTTTTGAACTGGCTTGTCACATCAACTTTCCCTCCTGAAATAGCAAATATCAAGTTATCACTCTTCAATATGAGATCAATTATCGAGGGAGCAAAACCTGAACTAGACCTGAGAAATCTTGCACTGTTAACCATTATTAAAGGGCTTAAGTATTTTATTTATTAGAACAAGAACATCAACAAAGAATCATGGGCTACTGGTTACAAGCAAACAATGAACCAAGTGCAGGAGCATTAAGATGGTAAAAAAAATCAGAAAAATAAACAAGAATAAAGGATAGACAGCGAAGCTGATTAAAACTATTAGTACATGCAAGGCATAAAACACACATTGACCAATGTCGTGATTGCCACTTCAGGGATGACATATAAAAAGGAAAATTGGGTTTTCATAAATAGAAATGATATGAAGTGAATAAACCCCAACTTTAAACTATGGCGAGACAAATGATAGGAGCGCCTGATCAGACACAGGCTTAAATGATCAAACAGCTAATATTTGTTGATGACATGGTCACCATCAGGCTTTGTAGAGAATCAGGATGTGTTAAGCAGAATCAACATTCTATTTTAATTTGTGTTGTTTTTAGAATGGCAGCATTAACCTTTAACTTGTTTTTAAAATGAGTAGATAATATATGAAGCTGCCTAGAATTTCCATATGACAAATATACCACTCGATTCTTCATGAAATGCTTGTGTACCATTGCTTTTAATAATATAATAAGAAATGTAATGGCCAAATGGGTGTATAGAAACTGTGTCAATGACCGAAACAACAAATAAATGGAACAGAGATACTAACAAAAAAGGCATGCAGCAATTCCTCTATGTGTAAAAAAGGACATCCATACAACTATAGAAGTGTCACCGAGTTGCTAGTATAATGTTATACCTACACATATAATAACCTTAATGACAGCTCAATTTTGTAAAATAGAACATACGTGCATTCCAAATATATATTATAGTAGGCAAACCAAATGGTAAACACAAAACTACTACACTACATAGGGGCGCGTACCATGCATTGAAACCAGCTCTTGCTCTTTCTGAGAATTGGACATTTCAGACTTGGGAGAGCCACTCCTACTTTTGTGTCGTGAACCGATATGAATAACCAACTTGGTACCTTTCCCTGTGTCACTCTTGGCAGCATTTTCCTCGCCTACATCCTTGAAATGCAAACTCGGAACCTTAGTTCCTTTAATCTTGACTTTGGGTATCATATCAGCATTATGTGCTGCAGCTTTGGCAGATTGTAATTTCAAAGCCTTCTCTGCACTTTGAGCTGAAGACAGCACAAACGCATCGGCATCATTTTTAAATGAACTCTTATCACGAGTAACATCTGCAATTTGATCTCCCAAACTACCCAATGATTTAGTTTCATTCCTTTTCTCCAAAAATATCTCATCCTGCTCGCTAACTGTTTTATTATTTTGATTCCCTTTCTTCTTGGAATGCTTCTTATTTGACCCTGAGCTCTTGATAGCATTCTTCTCTTGTTCAGATGAATCTAATGCAGGCTTAGTACTGTTGCTTTTGAAAGAGAATTTGAGTGTGTTTCTACCATCATTTTTCATTACATATGCACCAAGTTTTTCATCATCTGAGTTAGGATGAGATGGTGAGACATCTTCCAAAGAAGGCAGTGCAGCAGCAGCCCTTAAACTAGCCATAAGGTCATGATCAACTACATCCCGCCTCTTCCAAAGCTCCCTAACAGCATCTTCTGTGTCCCTAATCTGAAGATTGCAAGAAAAAAGGGTGTTAGAAAAACAACAGTTCTATATCAATGGAAAATATGGGAGAAGTAAAATTTACCTGGGAGCATTCGCCACGGCATGCTCCACATGTGTACTGAAGGTTTTGGTCCGATTGAAATTGCTGGTATTTTTCCTCGCTGCACAATACATGAAATGATGTGATGGTGAGGCAATCGACAGAAGATGGTACATACATATAGAGAATTGACATATTAAGGCAAGAAGCAGTACATATGGAGGGAAAAAATATCAGAGCATCTATTCAAACAAAATAAATTGGGTTCGATAATCATACACACCTGATGCCATCACACTCAATATGTACCCACTTTTCACAAACATCACAACAAACCATTGGTATCACTTCAGAATCTCTATAAACCTGAAAGGAGGGAACCGAAAGAACAGACAAGCATATAAATAGAAGTTAATAAAATGTAAGGGCACATTACAGCTTAAATTATACACTCTCGACTCAGCCACAGAAATGAAGTATCAATCAAAAAGACATTCAGCTATAGAGCATAGAAAGAGAGAAAGGAATACACAATCACTGAAATTGAACAGGAAATAACAAATGTCACAGGCCAAAACAAAGTTATGTCACTGGCGAAGCCATCATAGACGTAACTATGTCAACAATAAGAAATTCGGAAGGGGTTACCTTCAAGCAAACTGGACAGTAGTTTCCTTTCACAAATAATCGTCCACAAGCATCACAGCATGTGTAACCCAGAAACCACCTGTATATCCACGTTCATAATGTTGCAGAAAAGGCATTAGACAACTGGTGATCATGACTTGCCAAAAAGATAAATAAAATTATGATCAATTGTTTGAATCAGTACCTTGTGCTATGGCCACTCCCAGGTACACCAGATCCACAACTGTGACACCTTGTATGTTTTGGACATAAGTATGGTCCATGGGTAACATTCTGAAACATTACATGTTGTGCAGTGCTAAGGTATGAGCCATAGATTAAAACAATAGAAAAGGGGGGATGAAGGTGTACCTTGTGCGACGGTTGCTGACAGTAGCAGTGATAAGCACCATCACACCTTTTACAGAACATTAACTTGTTGGGATCACCAGGTCGTCGACATACCTGTACGTATGACAAGTAGTTATGGTATAAAAACATTTGAGATGCTAGTGTAGAATTCAGTGTTATTAGACCTGGACAAGCCCAGCTGTTCCAGGCACCTGAGCCAGGATGGTCCAGGCAGCAAGACCAGTTAAGCAATTGACCCGGCAAAATTCCAGTTCAACCAGCAGTTTTTCAATCCATGGTGGACATGTGGCTCCATTTTTCAAAAATGGAATGCAATGCTGGGACTCGAATCCCAGATCTCCCACCCATCCATTCATGGTTCAAATGGTGAACTATGTATGATATAGGATGATAAATATTGTATGGCACAAGCGGTCCAACCGATGACCCAGAGATTGGACCAGTGACCCCGCAAACCAACGTCTTGGCCAGATTGACATCAAATCCAAGACTCCAGTCTAGTAACACTGGTAGAATTATGGCATGAAAAACAAATGATAATCTACATGAAGAAATGGGGGGAGTGCACTTCGACATTAACATGAATGCATGGCCACCATAACAGCTGGTACGTGTATAGGCACTAGATCCCTCAAGTACAGTAAATGGCCTAACTTTGCAGCCCTTTAACTTGAAGAGGTGAAGTTTCCACAGGAAACAAAGCTTAACTTTACTGGATAAGGTACTTCTGGAGGCAAAGAAAAAAAATACAAAGGTGTGAAACACAATTTAAATATACAGACAACTAACCTCACAACTGCGGCAAGAGGGGCAGACCCATGAGCTCCAATGGAAAAGATCTAGATGGAACATAAACTTGTCAAAGGCTTATAAAATAAAGTATTCAAAGAGGTAGTAAAATGAGACATTTTTTATTACCTCTATGTTCCCCCCAGTTTTTCAAACAACTTCTATGATACTTTTTGTTGCAGAGTTTGCATGGAAGCATTTTGGCAGCTTTTGTACTACCCTCATTTTCTCCCGAAAAGCATATACGACACATAACCTTGACAGCAGCATTGCCCACATCTTCTTGGCCCCAGTCCTCTTCATCTCCTTCCTCCTGGAAAATATTGAATACCTTCCCATATTAGAAGATGAAAATATATATCTGTTTCAATAGTCCAACTATATGAAAATGAACAATAATCCAAAACCTAAAGCCAACTGAACCATACTAGTATGACATCAATCTGCACAACAAATAATTTCAGACATCTGCAAAAGTTTATGCTATTAGAATATCATATAGATTAATAGATATATTAATGCACTCTTATTCTGGAGCAATAATAAATTAATATACTCTTATTCTGGTGCAACACTAATCACTCAACTGGAGAATGTCCATAGTTATGCTCCCATGGTTCATGGTTGTAATAGTGGACGAAGTATAGAGCTAAAGACTGAAGAGAATAGGTATTCACTATTAGTTATCTGGTGGATGTTCACCATACAGAAGCCCCCTATATACAACGCAAATCTCATGGAAGAACCTAAGCAACCTTATATGTTACTAAAGTACGTGCCATTTATTTGTCAACAAGTTGGAAAAGTGAATCTTATTAAATGCTAATGTATTGTTTGACGATTAAAATTGGGAATAAAATAGGCACCACCACACCATGTAAACATATAATCCTGATGACATATAGCTCAACTATTGCTGAACTAAACATAATTAGAAACCTATGAATACCTAGATAAGAAGTACAAACTAGAAGATAACAAACGAATCTATAAATTAAGTTGTCTATCCCACGGGAGAAGCTATTCTTGTTAATGAAAAAATTAAAGCAAGATCGGAGCATGAGCATGACAAGCTTGTGAAAGCGCTAATTGATAGGTTTGAAGATGATCTTTTTTCTATCATATATTCATGTACGGCTATATTATTGCAGAGCTCCATGGAAGGTTGATATGACATTCTTTCCACCAATGCTGTGTAAAAGGCTAAAAGCAACGTCTGACACAAGCATACCCTGCACATGACAATCCCATATGACCAGGAACAGCATATTAACACCATAAATTTGCATTTACAAAAGACATAGGAAACCATCTATAAAAATACCTAAAAGTTCAGTAGGAACCACAAACGGCGATCAATTATCAGTGCAGCCATTAAACCCAAGAACCTACCAACTTGACAACATCATAGTCGTGTGTATCTACACCCCAAATAAAAAAGCAAAGCGTAAGAAGCACTGAAAATCCATTTGGCATAAACCTTGTAAATTACACATGGTCAAAACAAACTAACCATGATCCATACTCCCCATTTCCAGATCCACAAACCAAATTAAACACTGGACACGGGCACAAATATTGATGGCTTGCTTCATAACCCCCCCCCCCTCCCCAAAAAAAAAAAAATGATTGCCCATCGCTTAAATCTCACATGATTCTCATAAACCTCCAACCAAAAAGAAGCGAACTTGATCACCAGAACATGCTCGGGGCACACGATTCCTCCTCTCAATCCAGAATTCCACACGAATCTACACCAAAACCTCACGAATTTTCGCACAAAATCACACTCTCCTAGGCGAACCAAACACCCCCCAAGCCACAGAACCCAAAAAATGAAACCAAAATTAACACCCCCCACGAGGAGCAGCGCCAAACCCTAGCTCTTCCAATAAACCCACCCACCCCACAAGCGAGAGATCGGCCCGCGGGGGCTCACCTGAGACCCGTACGCCGCGGCGGCGGCGCCCTCCAGCCTCCGCGCGTAGTCCTCCGCGGCGGCCGCCTGCCGCAGCACGGCCGCCCTGCCGGCCTCCTCCTCCCCCTCCTCCGCCGCCTCCACCGGCGGCACCTCCACCTGCACCGTCGCCACCCCTCCCTCCTCCTCCACCCCCACCCCCTCCCCCGCCGCCGCCGGCCTCAGCAGCCATGGATCCGCAAGGAACCCCTCCAACGCCGCCGCCGCCTCCGCCAATCCTCCCCCCCTCCCCCTCCCCGCCGCCCCAAACCCTAGCTCGCAGTCGCACACCCTCCGGCTGCACAGCACAGAGAGAGAGAGAAAATAGCTTTAGAGAGAGAAAAATAGTTTTAGAGAGAGAGAGGAGAGAGAGAGTTTTACCATGTGATGGGGCACGCGACGTGAAACGCCATGGGCGAGGAGGGCGAAGGTTTGGACGAGGGGAGGAGAGAGCGAGGCCAGTTTGAATCGAATTCGCGTTGGGGCGGGATTTGAAATTCGGGGTAGATTTGAGGTTTCACTTACGGCCACCACAGATTCGCGGTGGGGATTTGATCGATTGGATTTCGATTTGGCCCGCGATTTGGAAAAATTTTTGGAGGCGGAGGGAAGGGGTGGTGTTGGGGTGAGGAGCACGGCGGGGGAGAAGGGGGGCTGGGGGGGGTTGGTCTTTTTTGCTGTTGGGTCCCTTGAAGAGTTTGTATTTATGATGGATGGCTTTATGAAAATTTAGGATTAGTCCTATGTGAGAGTGACATGTGGGGTCAGGAGGGTGAATTCGTTAATTATTATAAATGTAGGGGTGTATAGAGAAGTTTTACTAGGTAGAGGGGGGTTTTGTGATTGGGTCCTTGGAGAGATATGGATTTGCGCGTAAGGGCTTTGGGTTATTGGGCCGAGGCCCATATGAGGCCCGTGGCGACCGCTGGCGAAGGCAGAGTGGTGAAGCGTTGGAAGGGATGCTGATGTCGCGGCGGCTCGTGCCCGCCGCCGCCGCGGCGAGGATGGCGTCGTCGTCGTCGTCGGCGGCGGCGGCGGCGGTGTCTGGTGGTGCGGAAGGTGGAGGTGGGGAGGGGAGGGGAGGGGACACGCTGGGGAGGAGGCTGCTGAAGCTGATCTACCCGAAGCGGAGCGCGGCGGTGGTGCTGCGCCGGTGGGCGGAGGAGGGGCGCACCGTGCAGAAGTACCAGCTCAACCGCGTCGTCCGCGAGCTCCGCAAGTACCGCCGCTTCAAGCACGCCCTCGAGGTACACAATCGCCATGGTCGCGGCGGCGGCGGTGGCGCACGCCACCTGTTTGTTGTATTGCCGGCGTGACGCCTCCCCGTTCTGTTTGCAGATATGCGAGTGGATGAGGACGCAGCCGGAGATGAGGCTGCTTCCCGGGGACCACGCCGTGCACCTCGACCTCGTGGCCAAGGTCCGGGGGCTCCCCAGCGCCGAGAAGTTCTTCGAGGACATGCCGGAGCGCGCCAAGGGGCCGTCCACCTGCAACGCGCTGCTCCACGCCTACGTGCAGCACGGCCGGCGTGACAAGGCGGAGGCAATGCTGGAGGAGATGGCCAAGGCTGGGTACCTCACCTGCGCGCTGCCGTTCAACCACATGATGTCGCTCTACATGTCGAGCGGCGAGCTTGAGAAGGTCCCGGAGATGATCAAGGAGCTCAGGAGGTACACCATCCCTGACCTGGTCACCTACAACATATGGCTGACATACTGCTCGAAGAAGAACAGCGTGAAAGCCGCGGAGAAGGTCTACGATCTGATGAAGGATGAGAGGGTGGTTCCTGACTGGATGACATTCAGCTTGCTGGGAAGCATTTACATCAATGCCGGGCTTCATGTCAAAGGCCGGGACGCGCTGGTGGAGATGGAGAAGAGGGCCTCTCGGAAGGAGAGAGCCGCGTACTCCTCATTGCTCACCCTGTATGCAAGCTTGTCGGATAGAGGTAACTTGGACAGGGTGTGGAGGAAGATGAGAGAAACCTTCAGAAAGTTCAGTGACACCGAGTACAAGTGCATGCTCACTTCGCTCACAAGGTTTGGCGATATCGCAGAAGCAGAGAGCTTTTACAGCGAATGGGAGTCCGCCTCAGGAACACGCGATTCGAGGATCCCGAACACGATCCTCGCATTTTACATCAAGAACGGCATGATGGAAAAGGCTGAGGGTTTCCTCGATCACATTGTGCAGAAGGGTGTCAAGCCAAGCTATAGCACTTGGGAACTGTTTGTCTGGGGCTATCTCAGCGATGGCAGAATGGACAAAGTTCTTGAGTGCCTGAAGAAAGCCCTGTCATGTCTGGAGAAATGGGATCCAAACCCTCAACTCGCGACGGCGATATACTCTCAGATTGAGGAGAAAGGCGACATCGAAGCTGCAGAGAAGCTCCTGGTCATGTTCAGAGAAGCAGGATATGTCACGACCGAGATCTATAACTCGGTCTTGCGCACTTATGCGAAGGCTGAGCTGATGCCGCTGATAGTTGATGAACGCATGGATCAGGATAAGGTCTCAATGGACGATGAAACAAGGAGTTTGCTGAGATTGACAAGCAAATACCCGATTGGTGAAGTTTCGACATTGATGTCTTGAGATGTTGCAAGTTCGGGCAATGAATTTTCAGTCCTACAGGATGCAATGTGCTGTTAATTGATTTCCAATCACAAGTTATTGCTCCCCTGTATTTGCAGTTTTGAACTCGAAAGCAAAGTAGCGAGGATAGACTGATACAAGGTTAGTGGGCTGGAATTTGTGAATATTAGCAAGTTCGGTCATGAGTCTGTATAAGCACTACCTGCTCCCTTGCCTTCTGACTATCTGGCGCGGCTAGATAGCACAATTCGCAACAAGTTACTGCTCTTTGTTTTTGAAAACAGATACAGATAACAAATCGTGCGTAAATTTGCATTGTGAGAATTAGTGCTGAGATCGTATTGTTTTCGCTACATAGTATCAGCTCCAGTTACTGTGAACCAATTTTGTCATTCTGCATTTTCCACAATTAAACCTCTTCTACTGCAAAGGTAGCTAAAGCACAGACTAGCAGATTTGCAAATGTTTCACCAGAACGCAAGGCCACCAGGCCGGTAATCCTCATTCAGAGGAGAATCTGTGGATACTACTGTTTCATACTTTCATATATAAGAGAAGCACATACCTCACCCCTTCTACAAAAATAGTGCAATTACAGCTAATAGATTTTAGAGTTGAAAAGGCTGAGAAAGTTCACCAAATGCTACTCCTACAAGCTAGAACCTAAATAAACTCCTGAAGCCTACCAACCAACCTAACGTGCGGCACAGAAAACAAATATGTATATGCATCGCGTCAAAATGGAGCTTCACATTTGCCAGTAGGCAGAGGGCATCCCAGGCTGCAGTGCCAGATGAAAGTGTCTTTTGCACATCCTCTCATTTTGCCCACATCTTGGACATGGAAACAACAAATGCCCTAATGATTAGCCAAAACAGGTTGGTCTCTTTCTTCGGCTGCACCTTCCCAGTTTTCCTGCGGACCATAAAGAATAACAATGTTAAAAACATTATAGTGTGTGATCTGTCCTTTATTGAATCACTGTTAAATTGTTAACATCTCGCATAGTTAACCACATTCGCATGAGAAATAAAATTTTCATAACCAAACAGAAAAATAGGACATGATCGACAAGGTACAAGAACCGGTTTATGTAACAAATTGTTATATGATCAATAAATATTATATAGCAAATAGAATATCAATAAATAGGCAACTAGACAACAGAAACGTATCTTGAGTAATACTTCCATAATGCACTCAGTTGCCTGTTGCTAACATCATTAAGTAGTAACACATGCACTGCGTCAAGAAAAATAGTAACTTGTTCACATATGGTAAAGTGGCATTTCTTTGTAAACAAAAAAGATAATCTGATTGGTATCAATAGAGGTTTCAAGCCTATCACCTAAATCGAAGTACGCTGTCAGGGTTAATCATGCATGCATGAATTATCTGTACTAGCATGATATTCGATACTTCCTCCATTCATAAATGTATCTCATTTTAACCACTTCTTTTGTTCACAGAAAATTATCACTTGATTTTCCTATGCACATTTTCCCATTTTGCCTATCAGATATTCCTCACCATCCCACTTGCGGTTTGGTTGATTGGGTTAGTTATCAGGGATAGTTGGAAGTGTTGGTTTCCTTGGCAGACTCACGCGTTGGTCAAAATTGGCAGTGGCTATGCATAGCTTCTCTGGTGTTTCACTGTTGCCTCAACAAAGAATAGGCACTATGATGGATTGGCCCTAAAAGAAGTTTTAGAGGTAACCTTGTGAACCATATCATTACTACTAGTTCAGATCTTGTCCATTGATTCACCCAATACATTAAAAAAGATGTAATGGGATGGATCTAGCTTAATATATATGAACAACGGAGGAAACATGAGGAAACAATGACTTACCAAATATGCTGTGGTGTTTTGCGACGCATGAAGAAAATTATAAACAGTAAGCATGCAACGCAAAGTTAGAAGGCAAAGTGCATGCCTGCTGATGGCAGTTGTGGTGCTGTCTCCATGTTCAGGCTTGCTATCATGCTCTTCCATTGTTATGATAGATATAGATTGCTTGAGTTCACTGTTATCTTCCTCCACCATGCCATTCTTGCCTTCAACGTGTGAGAACACCTATGTAGAAGAAGAATAAAATGAGTTTGATTTTTAAATGCATAAATTATGTTACTGTCAAAGGAGATCTACAATAATCTCATACATATACATGTCATACAAAAGAGTATCATAAAGACATATTTCATAATAAAGTCGAATAATAGGTGTACAGTCAGTAGTTTGGGAATCCCCAGATGGACTCACTAAAATTTGGCCCTAATACAAAATAATTTGAACATAAGCAAAAGGATAGTGAAAGGCTGACTAGCCAATCTACAACTCAACTGTCACACAAATACAAATCCCACGTGAAAGATAGAAGGGGGGTAGCAGATAAAATTTGAACATTTCCCTGCCAAGTTTCAGCTTAAAAAGACTAACAAGAACTTTTCTAATCCTTCCGAAGTTAGTGCCCATGCCAAATTTTGATCACTTCACCATATACCAAAAATAGTCAGGCATAACCCAGAAAACCTGTAGTATAAGTTAGGAATGAATACATACATATCCAAAGATATGCCATTTCTAAGTTAGTTTGGATACTGTACTACTCCTGGCAAACTGTAGAGGGCAAAAGGGGGATTTAATGCTAACGATTTGCCATTCTAATAGACAAACAAATTGAGAGAACAAAGATTTCCTATCATATAAATTAGATAATTTGAATATTTGCATGTGATAAACAATCTGTCAAAATCATAGCCTCTAATCCCTGATTCTTGTCATAGATGCATCCATACATTATAAATCAAAAAACAATTAATACCATCAACGATTAAGGACTAGAAGCTACCACCTCAAGGAATGGAACGCACATATCTAATCCCAGGTTTAAAAAAATAGCACACCAATTAATGTATTGTCTCAAGAGAACAGAACATGTAGAAGGTATTTGTCTAGTGTATGCAAAGCAACTGTGTAATGAAAAGGATAAGTCAGAAAAAAGGCAGAACATAATTTTTCAACAAAAATATTATCCATATGGTATTGATAGAGTTTTCTTGAGATGCTCAAGACAACTAATAGGTAATGATGCATAGTGCATTATTTATTAGATACAATAATAATCCTAGCAGGAAAATGGCTTCACCAACCTTTGTATCCAGTTCTGCATGAGAAACAAGATTTTCTGCCTTTTCTTCCTCATCAGGATGCAACCTCTGTACTTCAGACACTTCAATAGACTTGGTTGTGTCTTCACTTGTATTTGAGTTGAAAGTATCCACTCTAGAATTGGACTGACTGTCAATGGTTTGAACATCATTGCTCATGACACTTTCAGGTCGTGTCTCATGTTCCTGCAAAATGGTCTCATTTGCTTGAGAACTTCCATTAGTCTGTAAGCAAAGAACAGCTTCATCAACAGCATTATCAGTTGTGTCATCATGATCTTGTAAAAGCGACTCATTTGTAATAACAGCACTGGGTCCTGAGGAAATAACTCCATTAGTGAGACTGCTGGTTGTCTCATGAGCAACCACCCGACTGTCCATCTCAAATTCACTTTCTGAATCAGGGGCATGAGAGAAGGAAGGAGGTAGCTTTTCAGAACTACTGGGGTCAATTTCTGCTGATTGCGCACATGGAACTTCATCTTGTTTCTCGCTGTTTGTCTCTAAGCATGCCATATCTGCTATGTTCCCATTTTGGAGTGCACCATTCAGAATACCAGCATCCAATAGATTAGATGACCCCAGTAGTTGCTGGGTGCTCATGTCTGTCACAGTATCCATGCCAGCTTGGTTGTCATCAGACATATCTAATATCTCGACACTGTCTTGGCCCAGTTCATGCGTAACAGGTGACTCCACAGAATCAGGGCAGTCTTCAAAACTCAGTGCCGTGGCATTCAAGCCGCCAGGGCCCAGAACCCTGTTCTCTTGGATGATATCTCTCACGATTTCACGAACTATGTAATATGACCCTCCGACTTCCTTATGCGTGAGATTGACTGAAGGGAATTTCCCATCATTTGAAACCCGGTAACTGAAAAAGGAAACAACAGCAACACCAATCAGATTGCTCATTGCCTACATGGAGAAGAACAGTATGCGCACAATGCGGTAATTACAGACGACAAGATAGGGAAAACAGGACTACTATCATATAACGAACTAATGACCCTGGCCGCGAAATCAAACAAACGCAACACGGCTTCTAGGACTGGATAACTAGGTCCAAATTTGCTATAAAATTCTGAAACAGTAGGCTAAACTTACTCACTGTAAAGAAGATAAAGAACAATAGCAATTTCATTCTAGAATATCAGTAGCAATGAGACAAGCAATGGTAATTAAATGGCATAGCAGTGCAGGAAAGGTTCAGATAATTTCATCAAAAACGAAATTAAATTTATCGACGGGAGGAAGAGGGGTGGCAGTACGTGTTGACGAAGGACTCGACCATCTCCCGCCTCTCCTCCTTGGTCTTCCTCACCCGCGGCTTCTTCTCCTGCACGCAGCACCGCACCACCCCGAACCCCTTCGCCCTACCACCGACCGCCGCACCGCCATCCCACGACGGCCGCCGCACCACCACCACCCCTCCTCCGCCCCCGCCGCAGCCGAGCACGGACGCCTGCGCGACCCAAGAACCGCTCCCCGTGGCCTGCATCCTCCTCCTCCTCCTCCTCCAGCCACCAAGAGGAGGGCGGCGCGCGGCAAGGGTGGCGATGGAGGCTGGGGGAGAGGAGGAAATGGCGACAAGATTGGGGGTTTTGGAGGGGCGGCGCGTGTCTCTCTCCCTTCCTTCCTCTGCTGTTTTCAAGGGGTCGCGGTCAGTCGGGGTCCTATCCTAGGTTTTCTCCGTCATACATTTTCATTTCTTTTCTTTTCTTTTCTTTTCTTTTATTTTATTTTATTTTCTTTTTTTTCTTCCTTCTTTCGATTTTAAAACCTAAATTGAACGGTCACATTTCAACAACAGGATTGTGGTAATTTATTTTTAACACAATCAGGTCTGATACAAGATTATGATGGTTTTTTTTCTTTCCCATCAACTCACCTTACCACGTTATGTTGTAAATAAATGCTAAAAATTGTTAAACCGGTATTTTTGCTTCACTCCGTTGTTACAATTATCAACTATAGATTATCGATAATCTATACTTGAGGCTCACATGACATTTCTTGAGGCTCACATAATATTTCTTTTTTTTGGTTAATCGTGTCACGTCATTGGCAAACAAATTATATGTTAACATGGTAGAACATGTTATACCTAAGCTTACTATGATTTTGTTACGGTAAGTACAATAGTTGAGTCTGATATAGACTTATAGCCAATACACATCTGGAGGCCATCTTTTTTATTAAGCCATTAAGACAATAAAAACTATAATCATTAAATCCACCGAAAGAAATTTGTTTTGGGTAAAATTATTCTTTGTCCATGAAAGTTAATAGAATTCCTCATTTGTCCATCATTCCCTCAATAATATGGATCCACATGTCAGTGACTCATTGTGGGCAAATAAGGGATCGTGTGATTTTTTAATAGCAAATAAGGAATCATCTTGTTTTTATTACCCTTTCTTTTCCCATCCTTATGCATCAAAAAAATATGTTAAACTAAGAGTCAATGTATCCATTTCACATCGGGTTGGTGGTCAAGTCCCGAAGTATCCATTCTCAGGAGCTGACTAGTTATGTATTGGGTATTGCTTAAATTGTCTAGACCCTCCGATTGCTACACGAACTTCGTAATGACACCTCAGGCATTCCATGCTTCGCACTCTACATTGAAATGATATGTGGCTTGCATGCAGCATGGGAAGTGAGCTCAAAAGTGGTTTGAGGGGTGCTCCTTTGGACATGTGGCACCACGCAATCGTAGAGCCAAGTTCGCGAGATTTTTCTTCAAAGGCCATCAGACACTATCCATTTAGAATTTAGGCATATTTCGAAGAGGATGCTCCAATTTTTGAAGGATATCATCCAACCGCATGATCCTAGTTTTCACGGTGTGCATGAAAGGTTGTTGCCATCTAGATTCTTCCCGTATTTCATCAATTATGTTGGAGCTATTAATGACCCATATTTTGGCCGTTGTCCCATAAGAGGAGTGCATGACCTGCATGTGCAGGCATGGATACAATAGTCAAATTGTAACGATCGCATTTGACTTTTGACGTGTGCTTCATATTTGTTGACATAGGGATGAAAGGAAGATGTCATAACATGGATGTCTTCAAGCATGCCATGAGGAAAAACACGTCTCATATGTTTACTCACCCACCTTAGGGTATGTAGATATGTTTATAATTTTGCAATCCAATTACAATTTCCAAGTTTGCTTACGCGTGTATGTTTTTGTGGAGATAAGTACTATTTGGTTGATGTTGGATATGCCTTGGCTTTTGGATTTATGTCTCCCTATAAGGGTCAACGATATCATGTGCCGGATTTAAGTGACCACAATCCTAAACGCTTGCAAGAGAAGTTTAATTATCTACATGCATCATTGTGTAATGTCATCAATAATTCTTTGGAGTATTGAAGAACAAGTAGAAGATTTTGAGGGGGATCCTCGTACAACATGAAGCGATAAACAGAAATAATTATCAAATATTTTGCCTTACATAATTTTCTATTGGATATGGCACAACGATCCGAACATCAAGGACAAGGAATTTTGATTTATGCATGTTCACTCGCGAGAGGAATAATCTGCAATAAAAACCGCTGGAGGATAAGAGCACCCGCAATGATAAAGTAAGATGCTATCTATAAAACATGTACATCTCAGCAATAGACTAGATTAATAGTAAACCACTTCAATGGTATGTTTACATGGGTATCTATAGCTCTCTAATCAATTGCCTCATTTTTCTCTATAGACTATCTCCAGATTAGTAGATAGCTTTGCTCTCTCTCTTCATTTAATCTCTTCCAAGTAGTAAAATATGCTGACATAGATCTCTTGTAGAGAGCCTATAGATAACCATTGCGGGTGCCCTAACAACTATATGCAACAACTACGAGATTATGTGGCATACTAAATACATATCGGTACGAATTAGTGGTCATTATACTGATTTTGTAATGTGTGCCTATTTGCTTTCCTACTTAGCAATGGTTTGTGAACTTATTTATATCTACAACCTTGTACAAACGGACAGATAGATATGCTACTTAATAACTAGTTAAATATTACAGTTATTGATTAGTGTCCTAAGTTGTGACAGATAGTGTTGTTATATACTCTCTCCATTCAATAATATAAGGCACAACTACTTTTAAAAATTGTTTCGTAATATAAAGCGTGCGTGCATGCATGTCATTAACTAGCCCCTCTTTTCCACTAAAATATCTATCTATTATATACTAAAAGTCCATTAAACTTCCTAGAAACGCTCTCAAGCCGCCACGTGGTGTTCCTATAAATACTCCAAGACCGCCACATGGCACTGTTAAATCTCACCGTCGATTTTCATTTAAATTGGTGGACCCAATACTTTAGACCATTAGATTAGATGTGTTATTTAAAAAAAGAATACTTTCGCATCTATACTGTGGGCCGGACAAAGAAACAAAACGTAAGTTATCTTTGTACGTACGTACGTACATACGGAGAAGAAACAATGAATCTTATCTCCTCTTCAACGGAAGAAAAGAAAACATGTGTACCGACTTACGATAAAAGCGATTAATAAGTAAAAAAAAACATAAGTAAAGCAGGTACGTAGTGCCACTGAAAAACTCGATGCTCTATAAAATATGATATTATACTATTTTAAAATAAAATATATTACTCTATAAAGTTATGCAAATATACATAGCTAAACTAGATCGTTTACAATATAAAAATAAAATATCCTATGAATACTCTTGAAACATCCTATCTATAAATTATTTTAAAATCATATATCTAATTTATGATCCAGTCGGATCCTCTAATTAAATAAACTATTGATGTCTATGTTCATAAATACATCATTATACATGAGGTCAACATATAATAAATAATGTTATAATAATAATCAGAAAATAATGAATTACCCCTTAAACTATTACGGTCGACCGAATTACCCCCATAAACCCGAAAACCGGACATCTTTCACCCTCAACTATTAATACCGGACGAATTACATCCCCCCAATGCAGAGTGGTTTTTCGTCCTACGTGTCAATTTATTAATATCGCATGATGAGAGTTGCAGGTGCCGGAGGCGAGAACCTGCGCTGGTCCTCAATGGCTAGGTTCTGCTACACCCCTGCCATCTAGAACTCGCCCAACAAATACGCCCGCAGCTCTGTCTACCATAGCATGTCGTCCCACCATGGTTTTTAATCGATCCCCATCACCAATGCCTCTCTCCCGATGAGACAACGAGGCGGATCAATCAAGCAAGCAAGCGTAAGGGAATAGACGAAGGAAGAGGAGGAGAACAGCGGGGCGACAGTGTGCCTACCCGGCCGGCCCAGTAGCAATGGGAGGGAGAAGAGAGAGGCTGGGGAATGGGATTCAGGAAGAGAGGCAGAGAGAGAGGAGAGAGAGGAGAGGGGTAGAGAGGGTACAGAGTGTCACATGTGGGCCCCACCTATTTTATTTTTTTTAAATGCAGACTGGACTACCATGTAGGACCAAAACTACTCCAGGTTGAGTTTGGGGGGGGGGGGTAATTCATCTTTTATTAATAATTGAGGGTGAAAGATATCTGGTTTCGGGTTTATGGGGTAATTCGGTCGACCGTAATAGTTAGGGGGTAACTTGTACTTTCCTATTTCAAATAATTTTACATCATATTCTAGGTGTCAAATAACACTTGATGACTATATAATGCTAACTTAAAGCTCTATATGTAAAATAATTGAAAACAACACAATTTAGTTGTGTATTTTTAAGCAGATATGATTTAGTTTTAATATGTCTGAGATTAAGATTCTCATCTCTTTTTTTTAATTTTTAGAACTATTTCAATAGTATATGATAAGTGGGCAACCTAAATGTTACATAAATGTAAAAAATAATTATGAAAAATATTTCAAACCAGTGATCTTGCTATAATATAACCATTTAGTCCATCATAGGATTTATGGTCATATATGTATGTTTTTCTCTTTGTCAAATAGTTTTGATAACAAATAAACAATCAAGTAACATGCGCAATAAACTACTCATGATATATTTTTTTATAGTTGAGGAATTCCAACTTATCAGACATAATTTGATGAATGTATGTCATGCACTCTATTGATGTGACTATGAATTATACTTCAATCAATTAGTTATTATAAATAAGTTTGGGAAAATAGATTCATTCTCTAAATTAATTAGTAAAGGTATCTTATGTGATTATGAAGAATAGGCGTTGAAAAATACGAGATGCAAAATTATATATATTTGTCAAAATATAACCAACAATATGGTCCTTTGGAGATTTTATCGTGGTAGTATTTTAAAAAACACTTTATTCAGGTAAGAAAATCACATATAGTACAAATAGAAATAAAAAAACTCCATTATTCCATTATTGTTTTATTATCGTGACACATGTTGTTCTCATAAATTTATGTCATTATCATAAATTTAGGGTTGTATGGTTTCATGTAATATGTCAAAACCAGATATTAACTAAAACACGTTTAAAATAGAGTGAAGATCTATTTTGAAAATATAATCTACATGTAAACATTTATAATAAAAAAAGTTAAGCAACATTAAATAAGTGTCCGCGCATATGCGCGGGCTACCTTCCTAGTTACTATTTAAATCTTTCACCATTAAGATCTCTAATTTTACTAGGTGCATGCATTCTATTGTATTAAGGTAATCCAAACTATGAGGTAATAATAATTATTTCTTGTTCTTTGGGATAAGGGTGGATGTGACTTATATTTTAGAATGGAGGGAGTATGTGCTTATTAGCTAATTCTAAAACCCAATGCTACAAACCACCCAACCACGGAAGATCACTCAACAAGATATTTAACCAAATCTGCCAACCAATGAAACTGCTTAAGACGTGTGCCAAACAATAGATAAAGAAGTAGTAGAATTTTACAACTTAAGACGTGTGCCTTTGATGATACTCTGACCTCTCATGTTAACGCAGTAGTATAGTAGGAGTATAATTTTATAGTGCGTTTAAATAGGCAAATACTATGTCTGAGGGCAATCCCAACCCATAGTGTCCATAAGCAGTGTCTATAGTGCCATGTCAATAAGACATCACAATATAAACTACACTATACAACTCATGGTTTCTTAAAGTGGGCCATTAATAAATACATCATCTCTCTTCTCTACCAATCATATTTATTCTTTATCTATTATGAAGACACTATTATCTCCCAATGCAAAACTTGATAGTGTCTAGTGCATAGGTTCTCGTGTTGAAGTTGTGTCTTACATGAGACCCAGTTTCTTCCTCTCTTCACTCTCTCTCTTAATTAATATAGTGCCACATAAGCTAAAAATCCTATATGGCAATGTAGTTAATGTCATAGACACCATCCTAGATGAAGGTCTGGGACTGCTCTGATATATAGGAAAATTAAAGGAGTGCAATTTCCCTCGTTATTACTCTTGTGATCTAAGATATAGTGGGTCCCACTCCTTGGAGATGCAAAGGTAGCCTAGAATGTTCCAGTATGTTCCATAGGAAAAAAAAAAGGACGGACATTGCTTGTTCCAGTGAACCAATAGAAGATTTTGCTGGCCCATGCCAATATCTCCCTTTCTGTGGCCTCTGCAACCATAGGATGCATGCATGCTTAGGCAGCTCCCTAATAATAGATCGCTTCCAAGACCAGGCATCCAGGCTATCTGCTTGCCCACAAGCAAGCAAGTAGGCACAAGTCTCCAAAGAACATGGTTCGGCAAAGACTAGATTCGGGCACTTGGTCGGTGTAAAGATTTTGCTTCCGCAGAAACCGGTGCCAATATGAAATTGATACTCCTATATATGTTCTCTATCAAATTTCTGTTGAAGGTGTGCTCACGTGTGTCCAATTATTGGCTCTGGGATATAAACCATGCATGTCAGTTATAGTTATTTACGTCACGGAGAAATGAGCGCGCAATGTTACAGGTACGAGGGTAATGTGTATCCTCTCCCTATAAAAACAAGGATTTCTAAATTGTTTAGCAAACATTAAGGTTAAATCAAAATATTTGTTTTTAGGCACTTCAGTTGTAAAATTTTAAATTTTAAATTAGTTAGATTCCCTTTCTAAGCATCTAATTAATTAGCTTTGAAATAATTGAAAGGATAGGAACTATAGGAATCACTGCAAGTATGCTTATATTATGGTGTAGAATTTAGCTAGGTAAAGCAAGTTTCCGTAATTAATCTTCTCAAATAGATCATCATCTGACAATGCAAGGGCGTCGGATCTGACTGGATATATTACGCCAAGCTAGTGTACTGTTGTGCTCGGAAGAAAATAAATATGTAAAAACAGGGTGAAAGTTTATTGTATTATTCATTATTTAGCTCGATCGTACATTAAGTAAGCGTGCAAGCAAGAGCTTAGCTTCTAAGTACTCCCGTAGAATGTATGTTTCCTAATTAATTTTACAGCTTGCTAGCAACGGATGTGTACGACTGTACGTACATCTCATATAGCTAGACATCATGCATCACCCTAATTAAAGGGATATGATGATGTTGAGAAACATACAGTGGTCTTTCGGCTAGCTCCACAAGGTAATGGGCTAGACGATTTGAGTTCAAAGTCTAATCATTTTTAATTATTTGATATTAGGTCATTCCCTAATATTCACATCTTTTTAGGGATATGATAATGTGTATTAGGGATTAGTAAGCATGCGAGAAGAAAAAACTAATTTTATATATATATATATATATATATATATATATATATATATATATATATATATGTTTCAGGTTGAACCATTCATTTTACGATATATATAAACACAGTAGCTAATACATGGTTTGTACATATAGGAAATATTAATAATCTATGAATGTTTTTAATTGGCACGCATGATGTCAGTTGCTTGTCGACAGGATCTCAACCCCCTAAAATGCAAATGATGATCAGGCTTTTGACTTTGCTCGGTATAGTCACTCATACAAAAGTTAAATGAACTTAGAAAGGACCCTTCAATTATGTATGTGTTAATGTGTACACACTGCATAAGAGATCAACGTTTTAATTAGCTATCCAACTCAGGAGAATTTAGAATCTATTCCAAACGAATTTCGAATTACAACTCAGAACATTAGCCACCTTTAGCTCAATGTATATACATGAGAAACCTATCGATATTATAATCCCTATCTAAAATTCTCCGATCTCTAGTATTGCAAATTATATCACCTATCGGAGTCATGATGAAAAATCCTATCTTAAATTACCTACGTTCCAGACGATGCCTTAAAAATTGAAATGGAAAGAGATCCTCTGACCTCGTGCAGTTTATACATTAACATGTTAATCCCACTTTACTACGACGCATATATCAGTGGCACAACTGTAATTAAACCGCACAAAGTTAGAAAAACCTCTTCTCTTGAAATGAGATAATTCCATGATTTTGGCTTGCACTTGATGAAAATTTTAAGCAACTCATCAACTGGTTAATCACAGCAATTAACCAAGCTGGACATCACTCAAAGCAAAGCAAAGCAAGCAACCGTGCATAGCCACTCCCTCATCACTCGCTTCTCCTTGCTTACACACCATCCCATCCTCCCTCTCCACCGTCGGATCCACCCCATCGCGAGATCTCATCCGTCCATCTCTCTTCCTCCCTCCCTTGCCTTCCGGACAACTGCATGCGTCCCCCGCGATCTCACGTACGCAACCGCAACCTCAATCTCCCTCATCCATGGCGATCCAAGCTCGATCTCGCGCGCGTAGCCGCGTAGGTATATATACCCTAGCTAGCTATACGTACGTGATCCCACACAGTCGCAGTGGTTTTGGTTGGTTGGTTGATTACATTTTGAATGCGTGGTTGAGATCGAGTTCTTGGAGAGGAGATCGATGGACAACCATGGCGGCGACGGTGGCGCCGGCGGCGGTGGAGGAGGAGAGGGAGAGAGGTCGGTGCGGGTGAATATTGAAGCTCAGGCGAGTGATCCGGCGGGGATGGTGGTGGCGATGGCGACGCCGTTCGAGCCGCAGCTGTCGGACGATTCGCCGCCGAGGTCGAGCATGCAGAGCGTCGCGGAGGTCGTCGACGACGCGGCGGCGGCGGAGGCGACCGGAGGAGGAGGGGACGAGGTGGTGGCGGTGGCGGCGGTGGGGCCGGAGCGGAGGCTGACGATGCTGGCGCTGCGGCTGGCGATCCTGGAGAAGGCGGCGAGCGGGCTGGGCGCGCTCGGCTTCATCTGGGCCACCGTCGTGCTCCTCGGCGGCTTCGCCATCACGCTCGGGAGGGTGGACTTCTGGTCGGTCACCGTCATCCTCCTCGTCGAGGGCGCCCGCATCTTCAGCCGCAGCCACGAGCTGGAGTGGCAGCACCAGGCCACGTGGTCGCTCGCCGCCGCAGGCCGCTCCAGCTTCCGCCTCGTCGCCCGCTCCTTCCGCTTCGTGTTCCACCTCGACGACGGCAAGGCCGCCGCCGACGCCGGCGGCGGCGGCGGCGGCGCGCCGAGGATGGGGCGACGGCGATGGCGGATCAGCTGGAGCTTCCTGTCGCGGCACGTCGGGAGGGTGTTCTACTGGCTGCAGCTGGCGTCGGCGACGGCGTGCGTCGCGGTGTCGGCGGTGAGGCTCGCTGGGCAAGACTTCGGCGAGGCGGAGGACGCGCGGACCAACCGGAGGTCGGCGCTGGACATCTTCTACGGGCTCGCGCTGGCGGAGGCGCTGCTGTTCTTGATGGAGAAGGCGATGTGGGAGTGGGAGGTGAGCTACGGCCGCCTCCTCCAGCGCGTCGCCGGCGAGTGCCACCTCGCCGGCGAGCCCGGGCTGGTCGCCGTCCGCCGCTTCTTCTACGACGCCTACTCCCGGTGCGTCGACGGGAGCATCTTCGACGGCCTCCGGATGGACCTCGTCTCCTTCGCCGAGGAGCTCCTCGTCGGGGGCTCCCACGACGAGCAGCGCATCGGCGTCGGGATCCTCGTCAACGTCGCGGCGAACCCGCGGCTCGGGGAGGCCGCGCTGCGGCGCGTCGGCACGTCGGCGGCGGTGGTGGACCGGCTGGTGGAGATGCTCACCTGGAGCGGCGGCGCCGCCGAGGCCGCCGCCAGGGCGTCCGCCGCGCTCGTCGTGTCCAAGCTCGCCAGCAAGAAGCGGAACGCGCTCCGCGTCGCCGGCGTCCCCGGCGCCATCGAGTCGGTGTCGTCGCTGCTCTACGCCGCCGGCGACGAGGAGTGCAACCTCCTCGGCCTCCTCATCATCAAGAAGCTGGCGCGCGACCACGACAACTGCAGCAAGATCGGCAACGCGCGCGGCCTCCTCGACAAGATCATCGACTTCTCCGCCATCGGCGGCGGCGCCGTGATCACGCCGTCGCGCGCCAAGGCCGTGAAGCGGTCGCTGCAGGTGGTGAAGATGCTCGCGGAGACGACGGGGAGCACCGGGAAGCTGCTCCGGCGGGAGGTCGCCGAGATCGTGTTCACGGTGAGCAACATCCGCGCCGTGCTCCAGCACGGCGCCGGCCACCTCGAGCTGCAGCGGCTCGGCGCCGAGGTGCTCACCCGCCTCGCCATGGACGCGGACGCGCGCGAGAAGATCGGCGGCACCGGCGGCGTCGTCTCCCTCCTCCTCGCCATGTTCCTCCAGCCCTCCATCACCGACGAGGGCGACGCCGCGCGCGTCGAGGCCGGCGAGGCGCTCGCCATGCTCGCCCTCGACAGCCGCCGCAACTGCGACCGCATACTCCGCGCCGGCGGCGGCGGCGGCGCCGCCACCGTCGCCCGCCTCGTCGACGCGCTTACCGACGACGAGGCCGGCATCGGCGCGGCCCGGATCCTGACCAACCTCTGCGCGTACGCCGGCGGCGAGTGGTTCTCCGACCTCCACCTCGTCACCTCCGGCGCCGCCACGGCGCTGCGCAACGTGATGACCACCAAGAAGTCCAAGCTGCTCGAGGTCTCCCTGGGGCTCGTCGCCCAGATGGCGCGGTTCATGGGCCCGCACGAGCTGTCCCACCACCTCGCCGGCGCCGGCGTCGCCGGCGGCGAGGAGGAGCTGGTCGGACGGCTGGTCGCCGTGCTGGCGAGGTACGGCTCCCCGTCGATCCGGGTGCCGCGGATCCGGCGGTTCGCCGTGGAGCTCGCCGTCGCGATGATGACGGAGGGGAGGCGGCGGCGCGGCGCGGTGGCGGTGATGATGGCGGCGGCCGGGATGGGGCCGGTGCTGCGGCGCGTGGCGGAGACCACGTCGGAGCTCGAGTGCTTCCACGTCTTCTCCGGCAGCGCCGGGCTGAGCCGCCACGCCGTCTCCCTCTCCGCCCTCGTCGACACCGCGCTCGAGCTCATGGGGGCACGTGGCACCGACGACCAATAGAAAACCGCCACGTCAGCATCTCGCATGTCTTCTTTTCCAACAAAAGAAAAAGAAAATCACACGGGTTAATTTGATTAAATTAATTAATTAATTATTATACGATTCTTTTGAGCATTGTAATACAAGGATCACACAATGATTGGGGTTATCAATGAGAAAGATCGAATTTCAGTGATTTAATTAAATTTTTTAATGCATTTTGTACATGGATGCTTAATGGGAAGGAGTTGCAAGACGTGCAAGGAACAGGAAGGACTGCAACGCACACGACGCATGTTTGTTACTTTTAAGTATTTTTGAGATGGGGACATTTTTGGTCGTGTGGAGTTGATGGATTTTGCTTGAATTTGTGGGAACTTTTTCCTTGCAAAACACACAAAAAGAAATTATGTGTTTGTGTCGTGCCACGCGCACTGTGCAGTACTCTTCGTTCTTAGCAAGAGCCCAGAGCACGTATATATGCCGCATGATGGCGTATGCGTGTGCACGTATGCAAAATTATGTTGCAAACTTGCAAGTGCACTGTTGTTTTCCTTTTCCTTTGGAATTATTGAGGCCTTAAAAAATGTTTTTCAAACTGCCAAGTGGATAGTTATGTTAAATTGTGTGAGATCATGAGGCTTCGTAATTGCTGTCATACTGCAAAAATTATTTGGAGAGTAGTTTTTTTTTTTACTAAAATCAGGTATCAAAATCAAATTTAGAAAAGGAGAGCACATGGTAAATCAGTTTGAAAAGGCTAGTGACAAGTATGTCAGATATCAGAATCAAAATTTACACAAATAGAATACATGAGAAATCAAAATATAATTTGAAAAAGTTCAAAAGATTAGAAATAAAATTGAGTTCAAAAAAATAATTTGAAAAAGTTAAAAATGTTAGAAATAAAATTGAATTCAAAAAGTTCAAAAATATTACACAAAGAGAGTATATGAGGAAATCAGAATCAAAATTTACACAAATAGAGTACACGAGAAATAAAAATATAGTTTTAAAAAGTTCAAAAATATTAGAAATAAAATCGAGTTCAAAAATATTAATTTGAAAAAGTTCAAAAGATTAGAAATAAAAATGAGTTCAAAAAGTTCAAAAATATTACACAAAGAGAGTATATGAAGTATTTTTTTAATAAAATAAAAATACAATTTGAAAAAGTTCAAAATACTAGAAATAAAATTGAGTTCAAAAATATTAATTTGAAAAGGTTCAAAAGATTAGAATAAATTGAGTTCAAACAATTCAAATGAAAAAGTTCAAAAGATTAGAATAAAATTGAGTTCAAAAATTTTATGCTGGCTGTGGGGTTCGAACCCACGCGCACTTCAGTGCAGAAGATCTTAAGTCTTCCCCCTTAACCACTCGGGCAAACCAGCTAGTTGAGTTTTTTCTTCCTCCAGTTTTTATATAATGTTTTCACTTGATAAGGCGGGTGTACGTAATCTTAGCCTGAAGGCGTATTTGCTCTGCCTATCGTCTTCTTCCCCACTGGCCGTCTCTCCCCGCACCACCATTCGCGCACGACCGCCGCGGCGGCAGCCAACTCCGGCGAGGGCCATGTCCGGCGGCGGATGCAGCGTCCGGGCGATCTGGATCCTCACCCCGCACGACGCCGTCGCCTTCTCCAGGTGCAGCTTCGAGTCCTCCCTGCTCAAACCCTTGTGGGGAAGAGAGCGAAAAAAAAAATTCGAGCATCTCGCGGCAAGATTTGGTCCTTTCCGATCCCAATAGCTAACGTTTTTTTCCTTCCCCTTCTTGTGGTAGGCGATTTGCGGTGGTGGAGAAGCGGTGGCGGGTCGCGTGGGAGGCGGAGGGCGGGGCGAGGGCGGAGATGATGCCGCTGCCGGCTGACTACGAGGTCGCCGCCGCCTTCGCCGAACGCCGGAGAAGGTTTTGCCTCCTTTTTTTTCTCTCTCTCACTCCCTTGGATTGTGCTTTGGTGAATTGATCTGGATATTACTAAGTTAATCCATGCGTGGAAGTGGATTTAGGCGTTAGGATTTGATATTAGTGGTGGTAGGAATTATATATAAGCCATACAACAATGTTAAGTGAACAAACCCCATCTGAAGCTTCGCAGTTGAATAATATATCGAGCGCAACAAACTTGACATGCTGCCTGTACTGTTATAGTTCATGTTGTTGACTAGTGATGATTTAGAAACATAGCTGTATAAACTCATGTTAGGAACAGTGGTGATACGCTCTTGAATATGGCATTGTGCAGGGAAGGCACGGCGCGTGGTTCTGGAATCCGTACGAGCATGTCATCTGCTGGGTCGGATTCGTGGGTTGATGATCCAATCACTCGCCACATTATATCACTCCATATTGATAAAGAGGAAGGAGAGGGGTTTATGCTGTGGCCTGTGGTTCTTCAGAAGCGGGGTAGCTATTATATCCTTGTGTTGCCTTTGGTGGATCCTCAATCATTTAAAGCATATGAAAGCCTCTTGAAAAGGTCGGACTGCGGGAGTTCTGCCAAGGAGAAGGGCAATCTTTCTTCCATTCTGCTCAACCTTCCATGCATAACAGGGTAATGTAAGTTTGCCTACCTATCATGTTGTCTGAGTCTCACCATCTTTCCGAGATTACATGGAAATGTTTTTGTCAGTGCTATACTGCTAAAGTCATCAACCAATTTATGGGTGTTCATGGCTTGCACTCTTACACTTCATTTTCCATGGCAGGGCATTAATGGTTGCACATGTTATTGGGGACATAATTACTGGTGATACCGCTGAGCCTGAGGTGATCGTTAGTACTGGCCCCTCTGTTGGTGGGCTGTTAGATTCATTGACAGGAAGTATAGGTATTTCTGCTCGACCAAAACCTATTGCTGCACCTGTCGCAGCCCCGACCGCATCAATTTCTTCACCTGTTGGTGCTCCTCAGTCGGAGTCTCTGAAAGGTGGTATGAGGCCTTTTGACAAGGATTTACTACGGAATTTCATCCTTGGTGCGATGCCTTTTGGTTAGTATCAACATAGCCTTCTATCATGGAGCTAACATACTATGCTCATCAATTTCTTTTTGGATCTGTTTATGCATTTGCCAACTTAGCTAGCAATAAAATTTGACAGGAACACCTCAGGATCTTAATTATGCCAATGTTACTTCGGTAAGAACAACTGGGTTTTCCGCTGATCCTCTACCTACAGACCAGAAGCAGCCTGCCTGGAAACCTTATCTGTACAAAGGGAGACAAAGGACTCTCTTCTCAAGCCTAGAGACTTTAAATGCTGCACTATATGACCGTGATGATGTGCAAGATTTCCTTTCGGTTTCTGGACAAGTGACATGTAGGGCTGAGCTAGAAGGTTTACCTGATGTTTCTTTGCCATTGTCTGGGTTAAAAGCTGCTCGTGTGGAGGTTTCATCGTTCCATCACTGTGTGCAAGCTTCAGAGCCTACCAATGATAAGCAAACTCTAATATTTCAACCACCACTAGGAAATTTTGTTTTGATGCACTATCAAGCTTCATGCAACATGGACCCACCTGTTAAAGGTTTCTACCAGTTGTCTATGGTGTCTGAGAATGAAGGTGCTTTTCTATTTAAGCTGAGATTGATGGAGGGTTACAAATCTCCCTTTCTTATGGAATTTTGCATGGTTACAATGCCGTTTCCTCGAAGACGAGTTGCATCATATGATGGAAATCCATCTGTTGGGACAGTTTCAATGACAGAACATTCAATTGAATGGAGAATCGTTTCAAGCGGTCGGGGCCTCAGTGGAAGGAGCATTGAGGCTACCTTCTCTGGTACTGTTAGATTCCATCCTATAACAATCCAGCGAGTAAATTCATCATTTCGATCAGTTCCAAGCACTGCATTTGTTGAAGATAGTGATAGTGAACAAGACAATACTAAGAATGGTGCCAATTTGGATGACTACCTCATGGAAAAAATGAATAAGGACCTTCAAGCAGTTAACTTGGAAGAGCCATTGTCCTGGCAAGCTTATAATTATGCTAAGGTCAGTCTATGCCAAACCAGGATATTTACTGGCACATGCAAATCTATCTTATCATTTTTTTTCCCCAAATATCAGATCACTAGGGTCCATATCTGGTCATACCTTATTGACATGCTTAATGACTAATGGCCATATTGCTTTCACTTTAGCGCATTATTTTGATAGTTCATATATGATCCTGTAGGAAGTCTGTCAGTATCAGTACAGCATACTCCTGTACTTTGATTCTTGTTTAGGATTCTTTCCTTACTTTTTAATTGGTTATGAAACATTTTGCCAGGTTTCTTTTAAGATTGTTGGGGGCACCCTTTCTGGTCTAACAATTGATCCAAAATCTGTAAGTTATTCATTAACTTTCTTGTTCCATTCTGATGGTTTATGCTTTGACCTCAATTAATCAGTTGAATAGTTATGCATTACCATCCCATGGTTGATCATTTGATCTGCAAATCTGATGCACAAACTATGTCGATATTGAGTGACTGATGTTTAGTGTTTTCATTGGGTGAAGAAAAATGTCAGACAAATATTACCAATTTACCATGTCACTGTCACACAGGGTGCATTCAGTCCCTTCCCATTGAAAAACTCAGTAGCTAGGTTGAGATGTTGTGGTGCTTGCTCGAGTTTTACCTACTGTGTTATCAGTTATGAAAAGGCAGAATATTTGTCCATGTGTCCATGGATTTAGGAAGCATACCAGGCTGATGGTATGTTGGTAACCTCTGGTGCCAACAATTATGCTAATGTTTCATTACTTCCCTGCTTAAAGAGGATTACTCTAAAATTTCTCCTTCCAATGTCTTGAACTCTTGATCACTATTCTTGAATTCTTCTTTTGTCACTGTGGTGATTTGGACATTTGGTATAAAGTTAATTGCATTGGCTGTGTTAAAAGGAACTCCTATTCTTTATTCAAATATGGACCATGATCATAAATTTGTACTTTCCTTTTTTGCTACTTTAAAGTTTAACGGCCTTCTGCAGGTAACCATTTATCCTTCTGTCAAAGCCCCAGTTGAATACTCAATGCAGGTGATCCTTTGATCTCATTAACTATAACTTTTGTTCTTTTAAATATTCCATCCACTAGCAAGGTAGTTGCTTTTACAACATTCCAAAGTACCTAGTACCTGGTATTGTGCACGGTTAAATAGATGACCCTGTTTTATTAGTACTTGCAAATGATGCACACTTCGATCTGCGATATGAAGCAGTTTCCCAGCTTCTTTACAAAATCAGCTGTTTATAAAGGGAATGTCTCCATTTTGATCAAGGAGAAGGTGGTTTTTCAAACTTAATTTGAAGAACAATCTGATAACAGCTGAAAGCAACATGGCAATGAGAGATCATCTTGCCTCTGTGAACATTAGTTACTGTAGAAAAGGCACAAAAATCGCTTCAACTTGGTCTGCTCGTTCTCTAAATGATAATTAATGCTTAATCTCCTGCTCCTGCTGCACATCTGTATTCTGTACCCTTGATACTGGTTTAATGGATTCTTCTTCTGAAGGAAGTAGCTTGATCTATGCAGCCTGATATTCATGACATGATTAATAACTAATGGGCAATACCGACACAAAAAATCTGACTCATTAATAAAATGCTTGCCTCCTGTCCAAATATAAACTTGCCCTTGGATTTGCTTATATTTCATAGTAATCTGTTGTGACTTCCAGCGTTGGGATGGAATATAGTATTTAATTTTGATAACTAAATTGTTGACACTTTCTTGTACAGGCTTCATCTGGAGATTACATACTCTGGAACACTTTAGGAAAATGTCCTTCTGCTGCTTTGCCTAAATAATTATGAATACCGATGGATGTTCATCACCGGACATATTCATGGGCGCGTGTTCTTTGCCGTACAGAACCTACAGTATGGTTCCCCAATTGATCTCTACTCACATCACCAGACCTATGCTCAAAGTTTTTGAATTTTGTTCAGGAGTTATTGTTTCAAGGGAAAAAAAGGAACCCAACAATTCTGGATATATCTATGTCAGACTCTGGTATTCTAAACTTGAGTTCATGATTGGGTGCAATACCGTTTTCGAGAAAAAAATTGATTGGGTGCAATATTGAAGCCATGACCTTATTGGGCAATAAAATTCCATTTCGTAGGATTACTAGCAGCATGTTGAGATAACTTCCATGTCAGGAAATATGGTACTATATCAGCAAGAAAAAACCAACTCATTGTCCACAAACATGAGACTTGGCATGATAAATCTGTATGATTACTGGTGATTGAGCCCAAACAGGTCCCAATTTTCTGGGCCTCCTTCTCTAGGTTGTTAGATAGAGATGTTTCATCTTTATTTATTTTGTCAGTCCTTGACAGAGGAATGTCATGTTGAAGGTCCATTGAACCGAGACATTTTCTTTTGCTAATGTCATGCATGATGCCATTGAGATAGATGATGTAATATTCGGATTGCATTGAAAGGAATAACATGACCGGCCAAAAAAACAAGGAACATAGGGCAACATTTTCCTCAAAAAGACAGAAAATTTAGGTGCAATTTTGCATTTTTGTCTCTAACGTCAACAGATAAAAATATTCCCTTACTCAGTGCTAATTCCAGAAATGGGTGATGGAGAAAAAAAAATCGAGGCAATGTAAATATTATGTGCCAAATGTTCCAAATAGGTCATGAATTCATTTATATTTTATTTCAACTTCTATACAAGTACACAACACTTAAAATATATTTAGGCTGAGTTTAGTTCCAAACTTTTTCTTCAAACTTCCAACTTTTCAATCACATCAAAATTTTACTACACACACAAACTTCTAATTTTTCCATCATATCGTTCCAATTTCAATCAAACTTATAATTTTGACATGAACTAAACACACCCTTAAACAAAATTTGATTCCAAACTGACTTTTTTTTGCTGTGCTAAATTTATTCGAGTTGGAGGCGCACTCACAGAAAAGCTGAACCTGACCCTTCAACTTTCGCGCAGCCCCCTCCACTTTCCTCGAAATTGCAACTCCCACCTCAACTATAAACTTCGGTTCGACAGTTCGGCACTCGACAATCTCGCAGAGAGAGTGAAGCTGAGATTGCAATTTGCAAATATCCCCTCGAGAAATCATAATTTGTTTTTCACTCCCTAATCCCCCTCCAGTCCACCGCCCGCGATGAGCGCCGCCGCGGAGGGGAGGCCGCCGGCGGCGGCGGCGGCGGGTGAGATGGTGCGGGAGGCCACCGCGTGGTGCGCGCTGCACGGGCTCGTCGTCGGCGACCGCGCCGACCCTGTAACGCCTCTTCTCCTCCTAATTTGGTTTCACAAATCGCAAGCGCCTCCCTCTCGCCTCCATGGAGAGGTTGGGATCTGTTCTTGGATCGGCTAAGGATAGTTTTACCAAGATCGAGCTATAGGTTGGACTCGTGATTCTTTCACGGTTTGAGTAGTTACTGGTGAAGTATACATGAGTAGCAGTGTAGCACTGTGAGTGGCTGAGAGTTTACTAATAATTTTGTTTCATCGCACCTCTTGATTACTGATAATTTCCTATACAGATGATGTAGGAAACACAGAAATATATGTCTGCAATTTTGTTTCCGAAAGAGCAACCATAATTGTCGGGAAAAGTACATGAGATGTTATAACATTCTCTTTGATTCAGCTATCTTGAAAAACCACTACTTTGTTTATAGTACCCAATTTCTTCGGTAAAACCACTACTTTGTTTCTTGGACTTCTTAGGTTACTTTGTTTTGGTTTAGGTAGCGCATTTCTGCATTTCACTCTTGGTTTGGCTGTGCTTAATGTCTTTTGGCAGAATGGTAGTACTAGATACAGAAAACATGGTTGCCTCAGAATCAACTGTTGAGTAATATAGTGAAATTTTGTGGTAAACCTTCATGCGATGAACTGAATTGAGGTGTTTGAAAAGCATTTGTCCTGATTATAACATTGTCATTGATCTCTTTCAGCGATCTGGAACAGTCCCCGGCGTTGGTTTGGTTCATGCTCCTTTCTCTCTGCTCCCAACGCATCTTCCAGAATCTCATTGGAGGCAGGCGTGCGAGTTGGCTCCTATTTTTAACGAGCTTGTGGATCGTGTTAGCTTGGACGGGGACTTCTTGCAAGATTCTTTGTCTAAGTAAGTGTCTTTGCGATTAGTTTCTTCATATTTTCATTCACGTTTCTGCTTGAAAGTTCAAATGGAATGTCTAGTTTTGAGTACAAGTTGACCACCCATGCAAAAACTCTGAACTTCTAAGGAACCACTGCACTTGCAATTATTGATATTGGATCAACTGCTATTTCAGAACAAAGCAAGTTGACGATTTCACTTCTAGGCTGTTAGAGATTCATAGGAAGATGATGGAAATAAATAAGGAGGAGGTGCTTCACCTGAGCTAGTTACATTAATATTATTATTATTCCATTTTTTGGTACTGTCCTTGTAATCTGATGCTAATAATTGCTATATCAGAATATCCGGTTGGGGTTGCATCGGTCAGACTATATGCTTGATTCAGAGACCAATTCTCTTCTTCAAATAGAGCTCAACACTATTTCAGCATCTTTCCCTGGGCTTGGTTCCTTAGTAAGTGAGCTTCACAGGTAAAATCTAACAATCAATATATTTAGTAGAGCTATACTGCTATGTTTTAATGTGCTGGCATTCTACATGTTATGAGAACTCTGCCTTGAGATAAAATGGAAGGTGGCATGCACATGGTTTCTATGTTTGAATATATGTTTTCAATGCTGTTTAAAAAAGAATGCCACGTTGTACTTCACTGTTAAAAAATGGCTTAATATATATTTAAATACAGATGTTTAGGAACTTCTAACTAGATTTACACATTGCAGAGCTGTATTCCTTTTTCTGTGCACCTGATATTTAAATATGCTCCAGTATTCAAAACGAATGTCCTGTGTCCTCATTAGTTGACTAGGTATTGCAGCCATACCACTGATATTGGTATGCAATATCAAATTTGTAATCGTAATGAGATTATATGTAAGATATATATAGTGCATCTTCTGCATCCCTCTCTAGTACTCAACTTTCTTAAGAAGGTACAGCACTAAAGATTTCCTTCAAGTGCTGTAGTGCTCCAACTTCCATGCCAGTGAAAGAAAATTGAGGAACTTTCTCCCTAGTTTCTTTCATAAAGTAGGAGTAACTTTCATTTGTTACCTCTGAATATTTTCTCCCTATCAATGTGCAGCATTACCATTGGGTCATCAATATGATGAATACCAACCGAGTGTTCACTAATTGCCATGCAGGACCTTAATTGATCAGTATGGACACTTATTTTGTCTAGACTCCAAGAGGGTTCCTGGAAATGAGGCAAGCAGTCAATTTGCTAAAGCATTGGCCAGAGCATGGGATGAGTTTAATGTTGACAGGTTTGGTATGCTCTACATGGATCATGCATATTATATAGTTATTATCACTGAGCATTAACTGACATTATCTTTTCACAAATTGCTCAGTGCTGTAATTATGATGATTGTTCAGCCCGAAGAAAGAAATATGTATGACCAGTACTGGCTCGCCAAACATTTGAAGGAATCATATCCTTTTATGCTCTTTTTATCTTCTACCTGGTACTTTTTCTAGTATGCAGAAACTTAATTGGACTACCGTACTTTCTTGCTTTCCTGTAAATAACCTAGAGCCCACTTTGTGCTGTCCTTTTGTTTTTGCATTATAACTAAAGTTTAGTACCCACTATACTTGCTTGTCTCCAATATGGTGCCCAAGAACTTGCTTTGCAGTTTGTCTGCTAGGCTCACTAAAATGTTTGATACTCTTTGGGCATTGTTTCAAGGGTTTGGCAAGCATTTGTTTTCTAAAATTTTATATTCTATTAGAGGTCCAAACATAAAATTTACACTCCCTTAACAATTCATTACACATGGCATAACGACTATCAGGAAAACTTTGTCAGAGGTAGAGGCTGAAGGCCACGTTCTCCCAGATGGAACACTTGTCATGTGCGTATCCATATGTGTAAAAATGATGGCTTACTGATTTTTTTACTTACCATATGAAGGATTTCTGTAACCTTGCAGTGTGTTCATTAATTATTATTTTTTTGTTTTGAAAAATGCAGAGATGGCAAGACAGTTTCTGTGGTGTACTTCAGAGCTGGCTATACACCAAATGATTATCCTTCAGAAGCAGTATGTACATAACACAATTATTTGATGTTTTAATAAAATGCATTATTTGATGTTCCTCCTAATAAAAATCAGTTGCCTGGAAAAAGAAGAATTTTGTTTGACCTAGTATTTGTTGTTTACATGTCTAAATGCTTCTATATTCTTCCAAAATTGTTGATGTAGTTTTCTGTTTTGTAAACAGGGTCAAACAGTGAAAGAAAAAATATATTTGCATGTTATGTTGGTTTTATTATCCGATGGCGATGACAAGTTTCTTCTATGTTGTAGGAATGGGCTGCAAGGCTATTGCTGGAACAATCATCTGCTGTAAAGTGCCCTTCGATATCATACCATTTAGTGGGGACCAAGAAGATTCAACAAGAATTAGCAAGACCTAATGTTCTTGAAAGGTGATTTGATTTTTCAGTACCAAATGATAAAATGCACCTGAATTTGCTGTCATATGAAGATACATAACTTCATATCCATCCGTATACTGTTAATACTATGCATGGATCAATTAGCATTCTTTGGTACAGATCAAAAGTGTCATGTTCTTTTTCCTAACCATTATCTATTCCTTCTATAGGTTTCTTGAAAACAAGGAGGAAATCACAAAGATCCGTAAATGCTTTGCAGGACTATGGAGCTTGGATGATGAAGAGATTGTGAAATCCGCAATCCAAAAACCCGAGTTGTTTGTCTTGAAGCCCCAACGTGAAGGCGGAGGTTAGTTTCTACAATAATGTCACCATTTTTTCAATCCATTTGCTATAATTTGTGTAGATAGCGTTTCCTTTGTATGACCTTATCTATACTGTACTGTAAATATCAATGATCAATGGATGATGACCCTAAGCAGTCTTTCTCCAAAAACATAACTATTATTTTTTCTTACTAGTTGGTCTTTCTCCAAATCCTACACTACCTTTCTCAATAATTACGCTATTTATATGCAGGGAACAACATATACGGTATTGATGTACGAGAGACTTTGATCAGACTCCAGAAGGAAGGAGGGGATGCGCTTGCAGCCTACATACTGATGCAAAGAATCTTCCCAAAAGCCTCTCTCTCTAATCTGGTTCGTGGTGGTGTTTGCCATGAGGCCCTCACAATATCTGAGCTTGGAATTTATGGTGCTTACTTGCGGTAAGATTCCCAATCTCACATACTTGCGGTAAGGTCAATGCTTTGATCTGACTAACTAAGAGTTCACTACTCTTATCTCTAATCCCAGGAACAATGATAAGGTGGTTATGAATGAACAGAGTGGTTACTTGATGCGGACAAAAGTTTCATCGTCAGATGAAGGTGGCGTTGCTGCAGGATTTGCTGTTTTGGATAGTTTGTACTTAACCGACAAGGCGATGTAGACATGATTGTTGAACATTTTCTCAGATTTAGCCTGCTCATTTCTGATGGACAGCAAATTCCAAAACAAGAACACATTGTATCGTGTTTCAAGTGTACTATATGCTTGAAGCTGAGGAGCATTATAGGCTTATAGCTTCTCATCTGATTATTTCCTTGGGACGTTATGATAATTATCCCTATTTATGCTCCCGATATGTAATTTTGTACTACAAGGTGGTGTCTTCAGTTGGCAGTTTACTTTAGATGTGGTGTTTGCAGTTTTTGAATGGCAATCCCAGTGATGTTCTGCTGTCTATATTACATATTAGTTTTCTTTGTAAAGACTGCTGCTTAAATAGGCACTTGTTTCCTCCGTCCCATAAAAAAAAATCTAATCTAAACTACAAATCAAGACACGTGCGTGTCTTGATTTGTATTTAGAATTGAACTTTTGGGACAGAGGTTGGGACAAAATGGACTGCTTACATGGTATAATCGGCCGTTTAAGCAGCGTAAGGTTGAGGCACCACCGCACTAGTTTCTTATATGTGGCATTATAGAACTTCTTTCTAAAACTGTATCTAATTTATATAAAAAAAATTATGAACTACTACTGTTTGTGTGATAATTTCCTACTCAGGAAGTCAGGATTTTTTGAACATTAATGTATAAAATAAACAATTGGGAGACTTCTCTAGTAGGATTTTGCATTTTTGGTACACTTCAGGGGAAATGTGCTAACGCTGGGAGGGGGCTGAGGGGCCAAAAACCAATTATAAGAAAATTTACCAGGGGTGTTTTTGTGAAAAGGATAGATGTGGCCTTGTTCGGTTCCTTGGGATTTAATCCTCAAGTGGAATATATCCAGGGAGGGATTGAGTGAATCCATCCCATGTCACTCAATCCCTATAGGGGTTGGAATCCCTTGCTATCTCTTATTCCCTCTCTTAAACCCCATGTTCGTTTTAGCTAGGGATTTTTGCTATCAAAATATGATAAATCCCGTGGTTGCTCCTCCGAGCAGACCTGCTTTTGTTCTATCAGTCGGCTATAATCAGACCTGAATTACGTCAAAGCTTTCGTTTACAATGGCTGTAACAAGCAGCTAATCTGAGCAGCGACGCTTCAAAGCTTGCCGGGACAGTATTGCAGATTAGAAGCACAGGAAAACAGTGATGGGTACAAAGAAAAAAAAGATGTCCACAATATCAAATATCACACATTTCACTGTGTGGGAGAACTCAGTTTAAACACATTCTTAGTAACTCAGATAAATCACAAACTAAACAGGTTTATGAGTGGAATGAGCTGAGCAGCAGGAGACACTATAATGATGCCCTGACTTTCATCATGCTGTCTGAAGCAATAAATCTTCAGGAACCTCAGAAAATTGCTACCATCAAATAAATTATCTGGAATATCCCTACCAGTCGATTTCAAGGAACCTACAAAGCACAATGAGTAAACATCAGCTTTCCTATCTCATAAACAGATAAAAGGAAACAAAACTTGAGATGATTGAATTTTCAGAAGATGCAGAAATCATGTATAACAGATGGGAAACTATTCTAATCCCTCGAGGGGATGTTTCCTCGTTTGATCAAAAACTATCTAAACGGTTATGAAAAATTCTGGAAAAAATTGACAACATTCATACAACACATATATACAACTTCACAAAATCTTAAATCCAGACTCAACTCACACGTCGAGATATAAAAAAGACAAATTCAGCGTATGAATAGTAGCGTACTGTTTATATCTAAATTTGTCTTTTTTGTTTCTCGATGTGTAGATCGAATTTGAACATGAATTTTGGTGGACTAGTAGGTATCATTATACTCTACATTGTCAATTTTTTTTAGAATTTTTCACAACTATTTGCATCGAATTTGGAAGAAAAAAGTATACGAGGGGATATCCCCCTTGAGGGATTAGAATCCACTCCCTATAACAGATAGATATATATAACAGATAGATATATGGCCAATGCAGAAAAGACTTCAACATGAGTTCTCAAAAAATCTAGAACCATAAAACATACATATCTATCATACAGTACCAATCTTGGTCTTCAGGTAGAACTAGTTCTTGGTGAATCTAAGACAGGGAAATCAATTGAAGGGTACAATATATAACTTGCACCTATTGTTGCTAGGATGAAGTATATGGTGCTTTCCTTTCTTTTCGACTAAAAATAGATAAAATTGTACATCCTAAAAACAGTAACACTAGATGTATTTGAATACAACTAGCAGCACACTAAATTGGTTCAAACACCGTGACAATCTGAAGTTTGAGCAAGAGCTAGCTATAGATAAACACAGAGGATCCTAATCCAGTACAAATCTAATTGATTAATCAAATATATATCACAATAAACTAATGACTAATAAAAAACAACTCTTATTAGCACTTCAGTGCTCCTGCTGATTGGCCCTGGACAGGTATATGTATGCTAGTTTCACTTTGATGCTATTAAGCTTCATGTCTTTCTTGACACCTTATTACCAGCAAATAAAAAAGAAAATCTATGCACTGCAAGTCTGCAACTATATCTATATGACTCTGAATTTCTTCAGATTTTGCAATCTTGAGAAGAATAAGGTTCGAACCCTGCAACTTTGGAAAGTCCTCTGTACTGCACCTGCAACTACATGACTCTGAATTCCTTCAGATTTCGCAAACCTGCAACTGCAACTACATCTACATGACTCTGAATTTCATCAGGGTTTTGGCGAGTCTTGCAGAGATGCGATGATGACTTTCTGAATCTTTATCTCACAGGGCTGTCAGGGTGCACAGCGCTGAGGGAGCTGCACCTGGCGGAGAACAAGATCAGCGATGTGGAGGGGCTGCACCGGCTGCTGAAGCCGACGTGGAGGGTGCCGACACTTCGAAGGCTACGGGCCAAGAACCAAGAGCCCTCTCCTCCTCCTCCTCCTCCTCTCCTCTCCTCTCCTCTCCTCTCCTCTCCGGCATCCAAGAACCCTCCCGTGTCCCGGCCATGCCGCCGCCGGATCTGGAGCTGAATAAGCGGTCGGCGTCGGCGTCGGCGCCGGAGCACGACCAGACGGCCGGCCCCTACGGCACGGTGCGTGCGACGACGGGAAAGGGAGAAGAGAAGAAAACCCTAACTATAAATTTGAAAGAGGAGGGTGTTAGATAGATCTCCCTCCCCTTGAGCCCAACGGCTCAAGGGGGCCTTGACCCGCGCCCTGATCGGGGGCGCCCAGCCCAATGGTTGGTGAGTCCCCGTCACACTGCGCAATATAAAAGGGGGTAGAGGCCGGGGCGGCATACGGTACGAGGTTCGCTGCCGCCGCAAGCTCCACCCCACAAACCCTAATCCGATCGAGAGGGGGCGCAGCCAGTGACGGGAAACGCCACCGCCGCGCCACGCCTCATCGCCGGGACATCTACGACCGTCACGCCGCAGCAGTCATCGCCGTCGATCTCACCGGCGCCGCATCCGCGACAACCGCGCGACGACGACGACGATGGCCGACGCTTCTTCATCCTCCAACACCTCAACCGGTCGGTCTATCTAAACCCTCTCCCTTTTCAATCTCTATTGTTCAATCATCAACCCAAATAGAACCACCCGACCTAGATCTAATCTAGGTGATCCTAGAGCAAAGTTTAACAGAGGGGAGAGGGGATAAAGGAAGCGTGCTCACCGGAGAGAAGGTGGCGGCCGGAGGAGAGAGCCGTGCCGTCACCGTCGCCTCCAGGTCGCGCCACGCGCCGCCCCCACCGTCACGTCCGTGTCTTCGTTGCGCCGCCGCGAGGAATTTTTCTGCTCCTCTCGAGTAGATGATTTTTTCTCGGGCTTACAGAACAGGGAAACCCATGGTGGGCCGGGCTAAAATCCACGTTGGGACTTAACCGAACACATAATTTCGCATGGGCCGGGATTATTTCCTCGCCGGGGTGATCCACGGGGATTGGGCCCCGATCCCGGCCGTTCCCGGCCCAACCGAACAAGGCCTCACGGGCTTAACCCCAGAGGTAAGCCGTCCTTCTCCCCTTGAGCCGCGCGGTTCGCTTCGCAGATCGAGATCCTTCCACAACCGCCGGTCCCGGCCGCCGCCGCCGCCGCTCCCGGCCACCGCCGGCCGATCTCTCCGCTCCCGCACCGCGCGTTGCTGCCGGGGACCATCGTCACCTTCTTCCACCAGATCGGACCCGAGGACGCCAGCCGTGACCTCCCCTCCCCGGCCTTCCTCCCCGGCGGCGATTCGGTGAGTTTCTAGGCGAATGCCACGCGAAAATCCCCCCTCCCTCCCTGTCTAGATTTCTCCTACGTTCTAGGGAATGTTCGGATCGAGTTTATATCAGGGAGTATGTGGATCAAGGTCGTCACCTGTTTCGATTGTATTCTTCTAGGATTTTCCCGATCTATAATATGTGCTACCTGCATAGGGCATCACTACTTAGTCCAGTAACAAATCTGACCTCTAGTGCTGCTGTCATATTACTGTGTAACTAGTCAAGTTCAACTGCATCCAGTGGCGGAGCCAGGACTCAAACCCTGTGGGGTCAAGGCTGATACATAACAATGGCTTCAAGTAACATAGTGAAAATAATTACTAAATCAGAGTTCATTTCTACGGTTACAGAGCTCCTTTTTACGGGTTTTCATCCCTTGATATCGGTTCATGATGGTATCAGTAGTGATATTTTGAAACACATCACTTTCAACATAGGCAATCATGCAATGATATAAGAAAGTATTGCCTATTCTATTGCGCAAATCAGACTTGATATACTTCATAGCAGAAAAAACTCTCTCGACTGATGCTGTGGCGACGGGTAGAATTAATACCAGCTTCAATAACAAAAACACCAAATGATAAGAAGTGTGTTTCTTTTTTTCAACTAATTTCTTGCACAGATCAGCAAGCCCTTTCAGATTGCAGAATCTTGAATCATCACGAATATTCTCAACAAAATTTTCAAGTTGGCAACCAAGCTCTTCAATCTTGTGTTCACTGTCAAAATCATCAGGATACAATCGAGCCATTTCTAGTATTTTGTCCTTGTCAAAGTTAAGAGAATGAATCAGCAGGATCCAAACAAGCCACACCAAGTAGTAACACAGTGCTGCTCTCACTAAAACGGTCATTAAGCTCAACACGTAATAGGTCAATAACAGCGTAAATGACACTCTGGTAGTAATCCTCATTTGATATGCCATCAACTTGAGCTTTCCGCTTTGATTTTGATCCCCGAGGAACATGCATGTCATCCATGTCAGGAAGTTCAATATCATGCTGGATGCAAAAGTCAATAACCTTATTGAACATACCTTCCCAACCATCATTTCTCAGGTCTTGTAGTCTTCTCTTAGTTGTGCCCAGATATGAAATAGCTTTCACAATATCTTGGTCCTTTTTTTTGCAAGGCTATGTTCAAATCATTAGTTATTCCAAGTATAACCTTCATTAAGTGCAGCATAAAAGAAAAATCAAATGTCTGTATGGCATCCAACACCCCTTTTGCCTTAAGCCTATCAACAGCTTTAGAGCCATTGTGTGCAATGTCATCAATAACTTCAACTACCGAAGGAAACATAACAATCATATTCAGCAGGGAATTAAAATGAGAGCCCCATCTAGTATCACCAGCTCTTTTAAGGCCAAGTTCTTGATTTAGACCACGTCCTGTTCCAAGTTCACCCAATTGCAATGCCTCTTCAACTATCTTTGCTTGTTTTTCCTAAAGCATATCCCTGTTCTTGAATGAACCTCCAATAGTGGCCAATATAACATTAAGCCACTCAAAAAGAAACACAACATCTTCATGATTTTTGGCAACTGCAACTAGTGTCAATTGGAGTTGATGAGCAAAACAATGTATGCTATGAGCAGATATAGAATCTTGCATGATTAAAGTTTTCAAACCATTTAGATGCCCTTGCATATTACTTGCTCCGTCATAACCTTGGCCACGGATTCGAGAGGGACTAAGTGAATTATTTCCAAGAACAAAATAAACAACTTCCTTTAGCGCAATAGCAGTTGTTTGAGTAACATGAGCAAGCCCAATAAGCCGCTCCACCAGAAACCCCCTTCTATCAACATATCGTATAACAAGAGCCATTTATTCCTTGTGTGATACATCACGGGACTCATCAACCAATATAGCAAAGTACTCATCTCCAAGATCTTCTATGATAGCTTTAAGTGTTTCCTCAGCACAAGCTCTCACAATATCTCTTTGGATTTCAGGAGCAACCAATTTGAAGTTCTTGGGAGCATTTTTAAGAACAACAGCACCCACTTCTGTAGAGCATTCTGCATACCATTAATAAAAAGTAAGGAAATTTCCCTTCCTCTTAGAAGATTCACTTTCATCATGATCTCTAAATGGCAAACCCAAAGTCAGAAGCAATCTTGCAATATCAATGGATGCTGTTAAACTAATCATGTACTCCATCTTACCTTTCTTTTCTTGCTTAACAATATTAGATCGAATAGACTGTTGTTGGTTCATGAGATCATCACATCTCTTCACATTCTGATTATGAACACTAGAAGGGCCACCAATATGAATTTTGAACCTATCGAATTTCCAAGTTCTAAACCCCTGAGTTGAAAATGCATCTCCTCCACCATGCCCTAGAGTTTCATTTTTAAACAAATAGCAACAAAGACAGTATGATGCATCTTCTACTATACTGTACTCCAACCAATTACTAAATGTCTTAAACCAATCTGGATTAAAACGACGCATACACCCACTCATATCTTTTTGGGAGAACTTATGATCTGGAGTCTGAAATGGACCTCTTTGGAGGTAAGCTCTTCTCACCTCGTCACGAACATTCACATTATACTGTGAAATTGGCTTTCTTAGTGCAAGATCTGCTGGAAGATTAGACAAATCAACTTTATCTTCTGTAAATGGTGCCATATCCACTGCATTTATGTTCTCCAAATCAGCTTCATCTTGCATTTCTTCTCCTTCCTCTTCATTTATAGGTGAATCTTGAGAAGTTGAGGTGTTTGATTTTGCTTGAGGGATTAGAATTAGTCTGACTACCATTTCAAATTCAATTCTATGCAGGCATTAGGCAGCTCATTTCAATTGATGGCCACCAACAGAATGGACTTGGACCAGGCAGGGCATCTAAACCGCCATAAAAAAGGTGCAAACAAGTCCTTTGTACATCTGTTTTTTAAAAGCCACATACATAGTAGTTGTTGATTTATTTATTTTATGTGCAGCAAGGACTTTCTATAGCTATGACTTGTACATTGATAAGAAGTTAGGTTTGGAGGTTGAAGATGAGACCGTACCTATTATGCAGTTCAAAGCTAAGAACAAGCTTGTTTTTCTAGCTAAGCAAAGTAGCAAGAGACAAAATTCCGCTAAACTTAGCTTTGGACAACATCCTTTATCTACTTATGAAGTGGTGGGTTCCTGGTCAAATGTTTCGCTTCCCTTCTGTACAGAGGTATGCAAAAAGTTGATCCTATCTGTGATAGAAGGAGTTAAAGCGAATCTTGAAGATGGCAACTGCTTTGAGAAATTTGATGAAAATAATCTCGTCGTCGGGCCTTCTGGAAAAGTAATGTTCAAACATGTTAGATTTTTCCCTACTACCTATGAAACCAAAAGGGCAATGTGGAAAAACACTCCTCTTTGGAGAAAAGACCATCCCAAAGGATATCGAACATCTCCTTAGTCTTATCAAAAAACAAATAAAAGTGCTTCTTTACACTGTCCACCCTTCACTTGAATCCCACTCAGAGAGGATGGTGCTTCACAAAAATGTATGAGCACATCAAATTCAAGATAACTGCCGCACAGAAGAATTTGATTCTGATGAGGGTTCCATATCATGAAAAATGGAGAATAATTGCAAATCAAAATGCTGTTCTTCACGAGACGATCAATTTCATATACAGCAATTATGGTTGCCTTCCTAAGTTCAATGAAAAAGGTGTACTTTATACTGAAATTGAAATTCAGCTACATGAGGCTGAAATGTTTCTGGACTTCATTCGCCACGGTACAGCTCACCGTCTCCAAAGAAACATAAGCTTGACACCACATCAGCATGAGCTCATACTTCTGGTGATGTATCCTTTGTTGTTGCCACTACTTCAAGAAGCTATTCTGGATGTACTTGGAGAGCCAGAGTTCAGAAAGATACTGTTAAGGTCTAGTTAAGGTACTACATTCAATAAATTTTCCATTGATTGATTGGGTTTTCAATTTGTTTTCCATTGAGTGAATGCTAATTTGATGAATTACTGTGCCTTGCAGGTCTGTGTTGGAGGTTACTATGAAGGACATGAAGTTGCTTGAGATGTATGATGGTGACTGAGATCAGTTGATGAATATAGCTCACTTGCTCTTGTTTTCATTTTCTTCGGTGGATGATTCTGCTCAGAATGATACTGTTAAGGTCTAGTTAAGGTACCACATTCTGTAAATTTTCCATTGAGGCCCTGTTTAGATTCCAACTTTTTTCTTCAAACTTCCAACTTTTCCGTCACATCAAACTTTCCTCACACACAAACTTCCAACTTTTCCGTCACATCGTTCCAATTTCTTCAAACTTCCAATTTTGGTGTGGAATTAAACACAGCCTGAGTGAATGAGTTTTCAATTTGTTTTCCATCGAGTGAATACTAATTTGATGAATTACTGTCTTGCAGGTCTGTGTTGGAGGTTACTATGGAGGACATGAAGTTGCTTGAGATGTGTGATGGTGGCTGCTATACTTGCTCTTGTTTTCAATTTATTCGGTGGATTATGTGCTTCTTCACATGCTTTGTCTTGTCAGAGTTATGTTGGATGTGATTAGTAGATAACTTGATATTGATTCTATTAAAATAGAATTTTGGATGGGTGAACTTGTACTAGGAGTAAGTAGTAACTTCTTAGTAAAATACTTTAATGGAATATTGTAATTTCTGCTCAATGTATTTTTAGGCCCCCTTTGGGTTGTGGGATTTGTAGAAGAAAACTCAGGATTTGAAGCTCCAGAGTATTTCAGTCCAATGAAGAGTTTACAATCCTTTTTAAGTCCATGGAATTTCAGCATCTAGTTGGAGTTCTTTTTCCACCAAGTCCGTGTGTGTGTATACACGTATACGTATACGTATTGTATATGTAGTGGCCAACACACTACATGGCACACTACGTGCCATCTACATAAATGGCTCGACTCACAGCTTATCGAATTGATCATTATATATGTTTATGCACTAAGACTAAAAATATTAAATCACATCAATCAAGACATCGTACACATATTCTTACACAATGTATGCATTGATTAAAACACCATGCTAATTACACCTTAGCATGCACGCATGCACACATTCTCTCATACTGTATTAATTTGTATTAATTGTATTATGATAAAATCCGTGTTGTATTAATTGTATTATGATAAAATCCGTGTTTATGCGGTTATATGATGATCAATTTGAGAAATTTTGAATTCCATTATATGATGATCAATTTGGGAACGAGGAAGTAATTTTTTTTTTATTCCACTACCAACTCCAACTGATGAGCCCCATCCTGCTCATTCTCTTATCAGTAATTATTTAACCGTAGTGTGTCTATTTATGCACCTTGTTGTTTAACCATTTTATATTTTGACTCCCAAAACATGGATCTGATCCCTTACATGCAACTATGCTTAATCAACTGATACTAGAGCTATTGTGTTTCTCAATGATTTGTTTGTCATCTATTGTCTTGCTGCTATGCATTGATACGTTGAGCTACTGACTAGACTGGGTCATGGTCATTGTAACCTTTTGTTCAAGTCCATGGGGCTAAAATGGTTTGAGCCCACTTAGCTCAAATGGTTCGGATTGGTTTGGGTAGAAACACGCAATGGACTGGACTGGTTTGGGGCTTAGAGGTGGAGGAGTGGAGTGAGTTGGATCGGTGGTTTTTGCGCTGGGGAAATGGTAGGAAAAAGTATACTTAGACTCCCTCAACTATCGCTCGAGTATGATTCATGTCCTCCAACTACAAAACTGGATATATCAACTCCTCCAACTATCAAAACCGGTGCAAACAATATCCCTGGGTGGTTTTGGATGACGTGGCACCTACGTGGCGGTTTTGACTGAGTCTTTATCCTCCGTGGTGCTTACGTGGCGTTAGAATAAAAAACATAAAAAAATATGTGGCACCCATATGTCATTCACATAAATAAAGTATTGTGGGACCCACATGTCATCCTCCCTCTCCTTCCCTTCTTCATCCTCCCTCCCTCTCTCTCTTCCTTATCTCTCTCTGTCCCCTGGCCTTTCTCTTCGGTAGGGAGCGGTGGCGGTGGCGGTGGCGGTGGGGACGGCGGTACATGGGTGAGCTGAAGCGCGCCCTCGACGCGTGCGGCCACGCGCTGCTCGAGATGCCGACGGGCACCAGCAAGACGGCGGCGAGCTCCTCCCCACGCGCGGACTGCAGCGAGCTCCTCCCCCCGGCGCGCGGACGCCAACGAGCTCCTCCCCCGCGCGCAGATGGACGGCGAGCTCACATGTGGAGCCCACATATTCGTGGTCCCACTTTTTTTTTTGTGTGAATGACATGTCAGTTCCACAATTTTTTGTTTTTACTCTTGTGCCACATAAGCGACACGTCGACGACACATGGGACGAAGACCGGGTCAATACCGTCACATGGGCACCACGTCAGTCAAAACCGCTTCCAAAACCACTCAGGGATATAGTTTGCATTGGTTTTGATAGTTGGAGGAGTTGATATGTCCGGTTTTGTGGTTAGAGGTCATGAATCATACCTGGGTCATAGTTGAGGGAGTTGAAGTATACTTTTTTAGAAATGGTATAGGGGTGGTTTTGAAGCGGTTTTGGTCCCATTAGCAGGCTTAACTGTTACTATTACATGCTTATGTTACTACAATTTTCATCATAATGTTACTGCCAAAAGTGCAGTAACAAGATGTAAGTTTTGCAGTAACGTATCATGATGGGAGGTAAGTCCACTCGTGATCCGCCATATTCTAATTCTGCAGGGACTAATAGTGTCGCCCGAGAAGCACCATCTGGTAACACGACTGATGAAGAAGTTTAGCTAGAGAAGACTGTGCTGCAAGAGTACTGTGACACACGGTTGTTGCCGTTTCCTAAAAGAAGCAGGAAACCGTCAGTGGACGAGCAGTTCGCTCGTTTTGTTAAAGTAATCCAGAAGATCCATATCAACGTGCCATTGTTGGATGCCATGCAAGTGCCAACATACGTGCGTTATCTCAAGGATATCCTCAACAAGAAAAGACCGCTCCCGACAATTGAGGTGGTCAAGCTGACGGAGCAATGCAGCAATGTAATACTCGACAAGCTCCCGGAAAAGAAGAAGGATCCGGGGTGTCCCACGATCACCTGTTCGATTGGGATACAATAATTTGACCAAGCTCTTTGTGACCTCGGAGCAAGCATAAGCGTCATTCCTAAAGACGTCTTCGACAAGCTCAACTTCACGGTGTTGACACCAACACCGATGCGCCTGCAATTGGCTGACTCATCGGTCCGTTACCCAGCTAGGATAGCGGAGGATGTGCCGGTAAAGATTTGGGATTTCTTCATCCCGGTTGACTTTGTGGTGCTGGACATGAACACAGAGAAGGAGACGCCGCTCATTCTGGGGCGTCCGTTCCTTAGCACCGCGGAAGCCAACATTGATGTGGGAATGGGGAGCATCCGTTTCCATATCAACGGGAAAGAAGAGAAGTTCGAGTTCCAGCCGAGGACCGAACAATGCTCCATGGTCTGGATCAATACGGGCCAAACCCGCAGAATATTCAAGTGGTCGAAGTGAAGCCGCCCAAGACGGACAGCCTGGTGAAATTCATGCAGAATTTCCTAGAGAAGGAAACAACGATTCCCAGGAATCGTTATTGGAAGACGTTGGTAAAACCCAATACACCGGCTAAGAAGCTAGAGAAGCCGGCTCCCGCACCAAAACCAAAGAAGGTGTGGAAGGAAAAGCCAAAGCGGCCTGCTCCATCACCTCCGGAGACGGGTGGAAAATCCGCGAGTTAAACTAAAGGGAGGTACGGTCTTGCACGTCGGACCCAAAATGATGCGACCTTTGTCTAAAGGTAAATTGGTATGTATCCGCATATTTATTTCCATCAATTTGAATTTTGCATCAATGCATGTTTGAATTTCAAAATTTGCATTTAGGATTGAATTTTGAGGAAATTCTTTCAAATGAATTTTTCAGAGGGAACAAAAATAAAATTTTCAATGAAAATTTGTTGTGCCACGACCACAACCGAACCGGCCAGCCAACGATTACCTACCACTTTTGGCAGGGTAACGGCTAATGGGGCCCACATGTCATTTCTGACCGTTGTGGTTGCCCTATATAAGCCGGCCGGCTGTGAGAGGGAATTCCACCCCCATTTCAACTCATTTTCATTCCCTCTCCAAGTTTTGCTCTCAAAATTCATTCAAGCTTTGATAGTTTCCCTCAAATTCAAACACTTAGTTGCATAGACACAAGTTGCTTTGGTGAAGCTAACCGGCGGGTGAAAGTTTTGTTATCCTAACCCCCGCCGAGTTAGTCCGTTCTTGTTCCTTTGTGCAGAATGAGGAGGTGACTGTCTCGTCTATTTAAGAAGGGACCCGGCTCTCCATCAAGTCATCATGATGAGTCTAGCACTCGTTCATCTGCCGACGTCTCGATGGAGGACGCTAATGTTCCACAGAGTCTCTTGAGTGACGCCGACCTCGACCTTGTCGGTGATCGGGAAAGACAAGCCTACTACATGCTGAAGAACCGGGAGTATGCTCACACGCGAGAATACTTGTAACATCCTGAAAATTTCTTATTTTCTAATCCTGCATTATGCCGGTTCTTATGTTCTTAATAACCTTCTAAACCTAGGAAAATATAATTAGAGGGACCTCCTAAAACTAACTTGCATAGAATCCCTCTTTGATATTTAAAAGCTTTTGTAATTTTCATTTAAAATTATCTTGGGATATTTCTTGATTCGATATTAATTTAAAACCTTCTTTCGACTAAAATTTCCTTTATTCAAATTTAGTTTGAAAACCCATTCTATTTTCATGAATTCTGGTCCAAGAAATTCTCCACTATTACCCTTGAAACCTAAACCATCGTAATTCCGATTCCATTGGAATTAATTGTTAACCCATCCTTTGATCTATCATTTGATTCCAAACCTATCCTTAGTTCCCTTTCCAAATTTCAAATATCCAAATTCCTCCTTTCAATCTAGCCGCCAATTTAATTCCTATGACTTGATTTCCTCTTCGGTACAAGAATAATATTATTACAAATATTGTGAATAATTGCTCTTGTGCTAAGAAAATATAAGTTTATCCTTCTCTTCCACAAATTCAAATTCCTATTAGCCTCAAATACTTCTCTAAAATCCCTGCCATATATTTTGGGGGGCTAAAAATCCTATTTAATTCCTCTCTTTGTTTTTCCTACCACATTTCCAGAAATATATTCAAATTTAGAGCCATATTATTTATGGTGTTGAATTCCTATTTGAGTGCTTCCAAATAAATTCCCTCAAACTCCACCTCTAAATATTCCACTCAAATAAATTAGGAAATCTCTTTTGTGAATTCCCTCCAAATTCAAATTCTATCCGAACCAAAACTGCCGAGGGACCTCATTCGCCCGGTTTTCGTAAGTTGGGGGACGGGTCGTACCTGGTTTTGCGGTAAAAGGGATAAAATTCGGACTGGGCAACAAATAAAGAGACCCAAAGTGGACTTATTCCTTCAGAAAATGTTTTTCTTCTAGTCGGGCCGAAGTCCTCTCCTTTCTCTTCTGGCCCATCTCTTTCTCTTCCAAGCCGAGCCGGCCCAGCAAGCCCACTGCCGAGCCGACTCCTTCCTCCTGTGGGCGTGCGTGGCATGCGCACACGCCACCGCCGCTATCGCCGTGATTTGCGCCGCCGCCGCCCACAGTCTACACCGTCGTCTCGCCGACCGCGCCTGGTCATCGCCGTGCCGTGCCGCTCCTCTTCCGCCGTCCAACTCCTCTGCCGCAGCCACGTGCTCACGCCGCTGACGCCAGCCAATCGAAGGACGAGGTCGGCGCCGTCTCCTCTTTCTCTGTGCTGCCGTTGCCGTGGCTAAGCCGCCGACCGCCTCCGGAACCACCATCATCCACCGCCTCTCGCCGCCTATAAATAGCCGACGAGCCCGTCCTATTTCCCCCACACCGAGCCTTTAGCTCCATCTCTTTCTCTCTCTCCTCCCATGTCCGGCCGTCGCCGCCGACGGTCGATCTCCTCCATCATAGTTTCTCTATCCCTTTCCTCGCGCCACCATGTTGGCCTCCCTCCGGCGAACTCATTTTGCCCATCTCCCCCTTCTCTCCCACCTCACTTTAAGCCATCACCGAGCTCTCTCTTTCCTGCCGGGCCGAGCTCTTGTCACCGGTGTTCCCATCTAATCCTTCCTCTCCTGCAGTGGAAATCGCGTCCTACTGGTGCACCACATCCGGGAACACGCGTGACCGCCGGTGTCGCCGCATCCCGACCACCGGAGGGCCGGCGCCCCTCCTCCCCGTCCTCTCTGTTTGCCCGTGGTGGAAGAGAAGAAGAAGGAAGAGACGGGAGGAAGAAGAAGAGAGAGAAAAAGAAAAGGGAAAAAGACTGACAGGTGGGCCCATAAATAGTACCTTTTCGTATTTTCAAGATTTAATTCAAATCCCAATCTTTAGAAGCCCATATCTCCTAAACTATATATCCGATTCCAATGAAACTTGGACCTAAATTCATCTAAATTCAAAATCTATATTTTGATACCAAATTTGCTATTTTATAATTTTATTTGAATACCGCTTGAATTTATATTTACCTTTTCAAATATCTTCTTTTATCACAAATTACCCTTATTCACTAAACAACCACCGTTTGGAACTTTACGCCTTCCATGGAGACGTTCGCGCGGTCTACTGACCCCGACGTCGAACCGTTGATTGTAAAGTCCGACAAAACCCAAACCTATACTTTCCTTTTTCTTTCTCTTGGGAAGGAGAAAGGAAAAGGAAAAGGACACTTGTCGACGTTTGATGTCGTCATTCTGGTATTTGCATAGTATGAGAATCGTCGGTGCTAGGATATATGCGAGACTGAGGTAAAAGAGATGGAGACAGGGATTTTTATACAGGTTCGGGTCCCTGAGCGGTTAGGTAATAGCCCTACATCCTGTTGGCCGGAGCCGATGTTGCTTTTTATTCACCATAATCACACCAGTACAATATGTGGGTAGCCTATCTAACTGTTGTCGACATGTCGGTCTGAAGGTTTGACTCATAGTCGACAACAGGGTAGTCTTCCTCCTCGAATCCGTGTCCGGCGAGATCAGAGATAGCGCTTTCGTATCTCCTGACGGTATCCGGAGACACCGTAGGGGAATAGCCATGCCTATCCCTGAAGTCGATATCCGGTGGCGTGTCTTGGCGTATGTAGGCTTGTATGTTGATTGTGTTGGGTGTTGATGAGGTGGTCGTCCCGATCGTGGTGATCGTGTTGATCATCTCATGGTGAGTCTGTGTGTCCGTCCCCTGTCTTCCTAGGGGGCTTGTATTTATACCCATAGGTGTCCCCTTGTCCAAGTAGAACTAAGGAAACCAATATGGATACAATCCGAGTAGTCCTTGTCGTTTTCATGTAGAACTCTGGCTGTCTTTCCTTATCCGGAACTCCCTCCATATCTGAAGTCAGTTTCCGTATAGGACATGGTATGTAGTGGGTCCTGCCGAGATTTAGTCAACTACTATTAGGTATGTGGTATCCATGACTATGACAACACTATAGTTTTTATAGGAATAGAAGGCCCAACAAGACTCTCTAGTTTGAGATGTTTTGAGTGTGGCGAGAAGGAGCATTCTGCCTAAAGTGTCATTCCAAGGAAGATGAAGGGGACAAATCATTAAAGAAGAGTAAGAGTGGAAGCCACAAGCTCATGAAGAAACCCGAGAAAGAATGAAAGAATATTGAGGCTTTCATTGGACAATGAGATTTAAATGAAGAGAGCTCCGGTTCTCTATCCGTCTCCGACGCTGATGAGAGTGATGATGATGGATAATCTTAATGGGTTTCGCTGGTTTTACATAGGTACCATGCATGGTACATATTAATGGTCAAAGTTGAATCTTGAAGGCGAAAGTTTCTTGTTTGATAATTCATACGAATTAGTTTCACATTCCACGGAAAATATGAAATTTCTCGGTCCTCATTCTACAGCTTATTGCTTAGAATCTTCATTTAATTTTCCACTCCAAATAATACATATGATTAAAACGTGTATATATTAGGCAGTCTAGGTTGTGTTTAGTTCCAACGGTGAAAAGTTTTGACGTGTCACATCGGATATACGGATATTAATTTCAAGTATTAAACGTAGACTAATAATAAAACAAATTACAGATTCCGCATGTAAACCGCGAGACGAGTTTATTAAGCCTAATTAATCAGCCATTAGCAAATATTTACTGTAGCACCACATTGTTAAATCATAAACTAATTAGGCTTAAAAGATTCGTCTCGCAATTTACACGCAAACTATAAAATTAGCTATTTTTTATCTATATTTAGTACTCTATGCATATTTTTAAACATTTAATGAGATAGGAGAAAAAATTTTTATCAAAGAATCCAAACAGGCTCTTAATTCCTGACTTTTCTACCTGCCAACTTAAACAAACCGTAAACTCCCGTTCCTATGGGACACGTGATAACACGGGGCACGTGACTGCGCCACACCATCGGTGTGCAAAAAGTGTACTTACGTATATGATTAAAAATGGCTTCACCTGTAGCAATGTAAGAGCATTTTGCTAGTGATAATAAAATTAGAAAAAAAATATTTTTCTTCTCCCTCCCCCTCCCTCCCTCTAATATCCAAAGGCGCGGGAAGGAGAAAGGAAGGAGAAAAAAATAATTTAGTATTTTTTCTATGTGATTGGTATGTGGGTCCCACTAATGCGTAGGTCTCACTGTGGCATGTCACATCAATGTGCGGAGCAAGTTGAAGCCTGTTTAGGGACCCAAAAATGTATTTTGAAGGTTTAAAGACATAGATAACACACCGACACAAGTTTAGGACTGTCAACGCACTTCACTCGAAATTTAATGTGAGCACAATCATGTCTTAAAAATGTCTTTGAAATACCTCGTTTCATATTATAGGTCATTTTAACTTTTTTTTTATAAGTCAAATTTATTTAGGTTTGACCAACTTAGTAAAAAGTATATTAATATTTTTAACACGAAACGAAGAAACTATCAAAATATATTTAATGTTATATGCAACGAATCTAATTTGGTGTTATAAATATTGCTATATATTATCTATAAACCTGATCACAAGAAGTTCGACTTTAAAAGGTTAGAACGGCCTATAATGAACATTATAAAACGAAGGAAATGTGTATATTTGAATATGATTAGAATTATCTTCTATGGACATGTTTAGGGGAGCTTCTAGTTGCAGCAGCTTCTCCCAGAATTAGAGGTTCCTCCAAACAGTCCAGTTTTTATCTAGATTGTGAGAAGTTGTAATTTTAAAATACAAAAAATGAACTAGGACACAGAAGCTGGAAAACCTAACTTTTCCAGATTCTTATAAGATACTTCCTCCGTCCCACAATATAAGGGATTTTAAGTTTTTGTTTGCAATGTTTGACCACTCGTCTTATTCAATTTTTTTTGCAAATATAAAAAATGAAAAGTTGTGCTTAAAGTACTGTAGATAATAAAGTAAGTCACAAATAAAATAAATAATAATTTCAAAAAATTTTGAATAAGACGAGTGGTCAAACGTTGCAAGGAAAAACTCAAAATCCCTTATATTATTATGGGACGGAGGGAGTAGCTACCAACTAGCTTATTCTCAAAATCGTAAGCTCCCAAACAGCTCCTATAATTGGCATATGCATTAAAATATCTATTTGGAATATTCATATTCGAATAGGATTAGGATTACCTTGTGATGAGCATATATTTAAATCTCTGTTTGCAATACCGGCCATATTTGAATAGGATTAGGATTTATCTTGTGGAGATAGATTCTAAATCGGATAAGTTATTTTCTTTTATATATATATATATATATATATATATATATATATAGGGTGCTCGGTTAATTTTGTGTTACCGTGTTTATTAATTACCCTACCAACCGTACGCCACCCTCCCAAGGGGAAAGAGGAAAAAAAAAAAACCCCTCCCCTTTCGTTCCCGTCGCCGGCGGCCGCCGCCGCCGCCCGGAACCTCTGCTCCCCCTGGCCATGGCGTTCCCTGATTGGGTCATGCTCGACCCCTACGTCTTCCGCGACGGCCCGTTCCCCGACGACGATCCGACCGCGGCGATCGGGCACAACTCGAGAGGCGACAAGGTCGGCGTGCGCTTCCTGCTCCGCGCGCCGCCGGAGCCGTCCAGCATCTTCCTGGATTGGGAGGCTGGCACAGGGGATTGCGACGACTTCTCCGTCGTCGCCGCCCACCGCGACGCCGTCCTGTTCCAGATGGGTTACCTGGTTTCGTTGGGCCCCAGCAATGCCTACAAGGCGTTCGACTATTTGCTCTACCGGGCGGCGGGGGCCGGCGGCTCTTCGCCGTCGCTCGACTTGCTCGCTCCCTTCGGTGGCTCCGTCGACGAGCTCAAGGCCAGGATGGAGGCGGACGGCCTGATCCGCCTCACGAACCAGCACCTCCGCAGGCTCAAGTGCCTGGACATCGGCGTCCTGTGCCGCGACGGCGAGGAGTTCGCCGTGGCGGAGCTCCAGATCACCAGGTCAGAGGTCGGTCCGGAGCTCCACGTGCTGCGTTCTTCTACCTCCAGCCGCAAGTGGGAGCTCAAGCGGCCGCCGATCACCCCTGCGAACGGCGGCTCTCTCGATCTGGAGAAATTTCTCTGGGACTGGGACGCCGACACGGTCATCCCGTTCGGGAGCTACCTGTGCTGGGTGGATTACTGTCTTGGTATCTTGTTCTGCGACATGTTTGATGAGAATCCACAGCTCCACTACCTAGAGTTCCCCGCGGATGTCAGAGGAGCATGCTTCGGTGGGTGTTGTCAGGCCGTGGGTGTGACCAATGGCGTCATGAAGCTCGTCTCTCTGGTTCCTGATGATGGCCTCATTGCTGAGAATTACACCCCTGAATCTGGTTTCACCATCGTTTGCTGGACCTTGAGGATGGATGAAATGGATAAGATGGTGTGGGAGAAAGATGCCGTGCTCAAATCTGATTATCTTTGGTCGATGCTCAAACCCGATTTTCTTTGGCCCCTAGATGAGTTCCCTTTTATCACTACCAATAGGTTCCCAAGAGTGCAGTTCCCTCTAATCAGCATCGATGACTCAAGTGTTATATATCTTGTCTTGGCACAGAATGGGATGGTGGAGGAGGCAGGATACAATTACGATGAAACATGGCTCCTTGCAATTGATATGAGTAAAATGACCTTGAAAATGTCATTTCCATATATCAATGATGAAATGGGAGATCCATCTCCTGAGATGCTTGCATTTGCTGAGGATAAATTCTGGAGGTTTGAGCCATTCCTCGCTGCTGACTTCTCCAGGCATTTCAATCTGCGATGCCCCAGGCATGTCCTCTTAAAGCCCGCCGAAGCTTGAAGTCCTTTACTCTTAAAGTGAAATCACTTTGTTTCTGTTCTGATTATATGGTCTAATACAGGTTATCCAAGCAAATTTGCATGGAATCAGCTCTACTGCCTCAGAAAAGAAAATTCGGTTGTGCTGAATACCTTCCATTGGATGGTCCCTCTCTTGCCATATTCTGAATTCTGATGTGAAGTGAACTTTTCTTCTGAATTCTGATGCGAACGGAGGTAATTCTGATGTGAACGGAGGTAATTCTGATGGGAATGATGTATCTTCCAAACTCTGATGTGAATGAGTGTGATTCTGATGTGAACGATGTGAATATCTTCTGAATTCAAATGTGAATGAGATGTGATTGATGAATATCTTCTGAATTATGATGCGAATGAGTGTAATTCTGTTGAGAATATCTTCTGAATTATTTTTGACATGGAATATCTTCTGAATTTGGTTGTGAATGAGTGTTTCTTGCCCAACAGAGGAAATATTGTCACGAAATGATTTTTTTTCCGTAAGAACCTCTTTTTCTTTCAAATGGGACGTGTGTGTATGTGGTACTATTTCAAGAGGCTTTCATGTTAATACAGATTTATTTTAATACAAGAATTTTATGGGATTTTCACACTAATTAGTTGAAATCTTATAATACTCTAATATTCTAATGTCGCTGCTATTTTAAAGGCTTACATGTATAATCTGTTTTGAATTCATAGTATGTTTACACTAACTGGTTCAATTTTTGTAGTTCTTCAAGTTTGAGTTTGGGACATTATTAGAATCGTAAGCACTTCAATTCCTGTTTTGAACCGTATTCACGATCATAAGCTAGGTCACTAATCTTGTTTAGACATGTACAAGAGGAACATGCGTGTACATCTGAGTTATACCTGAACGATAACGATCAACCTAGAATTCTGCACTTATTTGAAAACAACTGATCAAATTATGTGCAAAGCCTTGGGAAAAAAAAATCCTGAAGTAAAAACTAGAACTGTCCATATGCCTAGACATGTTTGTTCATGAGGGCTCCATGTACAGTGGAAAAATTTGCATGATTTTCAGGAAATCGCATGGACCAACCATAGAAGCAGATTCCAGCTGCTCAGCCGCTTCCCTCCCCTCCTGCCAGCGAGGTACTCCCTACCGTGCTCTCCCCTTCTCCCCTCTCTGGTTTAGAGTTTCTTGGGAACTTCCAAACTTGATTTATACTGCTGAATATTTCAAAGATCAAGAATTTACAGAACTGTAGAACCGATAAGAGCAGTAATTTTTGCCCATTTCGAAAGTATGTTCCTTTTATCTAGCAATTAGCCAATTACTTCATACTATTTCAGTTCCAGCAAGTCTGCAGATGTGCCACCAATCTTGGCTTGAGCGAGTGCTAACTGTATCTGGTGTATGTTCAGACAATTCAGTGGTGAAAGACATTAGACAAATGCCCCAAGGCACGCTAGCTCATGGAATGAAGGGGTAAGGGATGAACTGAAGAAGCCACCTGAATTTTCCCCTATTCATAGTTGTCTAGTTGATATCAACTTTCACATAAATTGTTTGGATTGGATGAACTCGTGTATCTATGGTTTCTTTGTTAGATTTTATTCCACGACCAATATGTCAATCTAGATGGATAACCATGGGGGTTGATTCTTTCTTGCTTATAAGTGAAAATGATGTCTCTTCTCATCAGGTGGAAGTGTGGCTTCAGACATTTGGACCAGCCGAAAGGACACTGATCCGCAGGCACTCATGTGAGGAAGTCTTTGTTGTATTGAAAGGGAAAGGCATACTTGTATTGAAGTACACAGGGCAGCCTCGGGAGATTCCTGTCTTTCAAAATAGCATATTTATGGTCCCTGTAAATGATCCTCACCAGGTTGTTTATGTTGGATTTATTTTGGTGGGATGTGCAATTTACATAAAGGTGTTTACACCATGTTTCTCTTTACCGCAGGTTTGGAATTCTGATGAGCATGAGGTGAGGATTTGCAGGTGATTGTGGTCATATCGTGGCTATCAAGGTGTGAGTACTGAGTTTACCCAGCACCTAAACATGAACTCTAGGTTCTAAACTGCTGATTGTTGTGTATCAGCTTTGTTAAAGGACCCTTATGTGCAGTGCAGGCCTGGGCGCGAGAGGGAGAGGGGGAGTATGTACACCCCCTTCCCCCTTCTATTGGATACTCCAGTAGTGTTTAATTTAAAATTTGAGCCGGTGGAGAAACGAAAATATGACTTTTTTCCTCTATTCACGGCCGCATGCATGCGTGCGTGATTCCGGTTTTGATGCAACCGAATTATTCAAGGCTTGAATTAATCATATACCTAAATCCCGTTAGCATGTATTCATTTAGGAAATGATCAGCAGCATATCTGCCGCTGAAGTATATATGGTGTTCTTTTTAATGACACTGCCTGTCCCGTTTTACTTGTTACTTCCTCCGTTTCATATTATAACACTTTCTAACATTTGCTCTCAATGTGAGTGTGTGTGCGCACGCCTAGATTTATTAACATTTATATAAATGTAGGTAATGCTAGAAAGTCTTATAATCTGAAACGAAGGTACTTATTGCGTTCATTTTATGAACGTACTTAGCAGTACCTACGTTCACGATGGGAGTATGTGTACATGCAGTTGATCATATATTGCAGTATATTCAGTTCAAATGAAGTACATACTGTTTTTAAGTTAGTACAGTATATACAAATGTGTTTTTAGTTAGTAGCAGTATATACTATTTTGTAAAGTAGTAGGTATATACCGTTTTTAACTTAGTAGCATTATATACTATTTTGTAAAGTAGTAATGGTATATACTGTTTTTAACTTAGTAGTATATACTAATTTTTACTAGTAGCAGAATATGAGAATTTTTATAGTAGTGGTATATACTGCTTTTAACTTTGTAGCAGTATATACTAATTTTCATATATCTATATCTCTATCTCTATCTCTATCTCTTCTCTACTTTTTATACTTTAAAAAAATAAGAGGTGTTTCCATCGTCCGAAAAAAACCGGGCGAAAAAAACCGAGTTTGTCCGATCAAAAAACCAGGCGAAAAAAGTGCGAAAAAAAAGAAAAACCAAATATGTCCGATCCAGAAAAAACCGGACGAAAAAACCAGGCGAAAAAAAACCAAAATTGTCTGATAAAAAAAACGGACGAACAAAAACGTGCGAAAAAAAGAAAAGAAAAAACAAAATAGCGATAAAAAAAATCGACTCGGTCCCTAAAAAAAATAGCGATAAAAATAAAAAAAAGTCCGACTCCTCTTGCGATTCCCTCTCAGAAACAACAACAAAAAAAAAAGTCCGACTCTATATCCGAGTCCCACTCCTCTCGGTTTGAGTCCGAGATACTAGGCACCACTTCTCTCGGTTTCAATCTATATATTCCATACATCTTGGTGAAAAAAAAATTGATGTGCCGGATTGAAGATCTGTTTGCAAAAACGGAAACTACATGTCGAGAGCATTTCATTTTTATATGATTTTAATTTGGGTTTGTACATTTGCATTTGAGTCCCTGTAATTTTTATATTTACATTTGAGTCCCTATAATCTTGCAATAAGGTGCTTTTGGTCTTTTTTTTAAAAAAACAATAAATAAAAGGGACAGAACAAAGACAGAAATGTGCATAAAAAGAAAAAGAAGAGCCACACAAAAAAGAAAATAAACAAAAAACAACAACAACAAAAGTCTATTTCCTCTAAGTGGCGAAAAAAACTGTAGATATAAACGGAAAAAAAAATATGATTCCTATAAAAGACAAAAAAAAAGTGGCGAAAAAAAAACGCTAGATCCGATTCCTTTAAAAAGGGGAAAAAGTCTGATTCATGTAAAGGCAAAAAAAATTGAAAAAAACATCTAAAAAAGTTCGTCCGATTCCCTAAGAAAGTGGCAAAAAAATGGGTCGTAAAAAATAAAAAACTGGTTCGTATAAAATAAAAATTGCACGCGAGAAAAAATGGAAAGGGTGAAACAAAGTCCAATTTCTAATCAGTATAAATCTCTTCTCTATCTCTAGTCTAATCTAACTATTTAAAAATAAAAAAAGGCACGACAAAATAAAAATGGTCAAAAAAACGTGTGAGAAAAAAGTCAGAAAAAAGCGCAACAAACACGCTGAAAAGGTTTTTCCATCTTCTTAAAAAAATTTAAAAACGCGTGAGAAAAAATATTTTCATTGTCGGCAAAAACTTTTTAAAAAAACATGCGAGGAAAAGACTATCAGAAAAAATGCGTCATTTCTAAAAAAAATGGTTTGAAAAAACCACGCAAGAAAAAAACACTATCTATATAAAAAAATCGCTCTGAAAAAATTGTCAGAAAAAAACTAAATTGATGGACGCTTGAGTCGGATAGGATCCATCGATTTTTTACCATCTACTACACGGCTTTTATTTCGTCATATATTTCCATGTATTGGAAAAAAGCAAAAAATAACATTCAGAAAAAACAGGCAAAAAAAACCACGCGAGAAAGTAATTGTCAGAAAAAATAGGCAGAAAACACGCGAGAAAAGCAAAACAAAAATGGGGAGAAAAATATGGCTTTCGTCATCAGTAAAAAAAAAGGAAAAGGAAAAACATGCTAGGAAAAACCTGTTAGAAAGAAATGCGCTATTTCTGAAAAATGGTTTGAGAAAATCGTGCAAGAAAAAACATCGTTTATAAAAAAAAAACGAGCCGCTCATTAAAATACAAACATTGTCATTGAGATGATTATGCATGAAAAACTTATATTATCATTAAAAAATTTTCACCCGTTGCAACGCACGGGTATTTTTGCTAGTATATATATACATACACCACAAATTATACCAGTTGATTCAGGATTTTATTTCCAAGGCGAGTTTGAAGTTCGATCTCCTACTCCTGGATGAGTACAAATTCTTATTATGGCAAGTGAAGTTTTGCAGCGGGGTATCTACCTAGGAGGAGAAGTATGCCGAAAAGAAGAAGCATATTCAAGTCGTTGAGAGGGAGGTTTACTCCTGTCTAGATCTCAAGGTGATTAAAATTTCTGGCAAAGTTTGCTACCATCATACCCATCATATCAGGAGGTTTTATCAGGAGATTTAAGTACTTCGTTTTGAGCACAAAAGTTTCGCGTTTCTGCTAGGATTACATAAATTCATGCTAGCAGATTCAGGATTTTATTCCTATTGCGAGTTTGAAGTTTGTGCATGAGTTTCGCGTCTCTACTAGGTTCACACCGGTTTATACTAGCATATTCAAGATCTATTCTCAATGGTGAGTTTGAAGTATGGTCTACCTCTTTTGGATCAAGGGTGTTATGGATTATAGTCCAAGTGACTATTTGGCGCATATTGATTTTATCATCACGAGGTTGTTTGGAGATTGAAGATTTTTATACTACAAGAGAAATTCGTATCAAAGTGGAGATTGTTAAATATGTGATCCGAATTTTGGGCCCACAATATATTCGGATTAGTTTTCTAATAGGACTCTGCATTATAGGATTAGTTTCCTATTAGGATTTCGAGTCTTTGCCTATTAGGACTCCTAGATTTCTCTCATATATATCCCTTGTAAGCCGCCCGGGGAGGGTGCGACAGCCCGATGTATCCCAGCGTTTGTATCCAACTCCTCTATAGTGATTATTGTCGGTCGGCACCCGTGGTTTTTTTCCGCAAGGATTCTCCATGTAAAATTTTATGTCTCTGTTGTGCATCTATTTTCATAACATTGATGTAACTTTTTCATCAGGTGGAAGTGTGCCTTCAGACATTTGGTCCAGGCCAAAGGACACCCATCCACAGGCACTCATGTGAGGAAGTTTTTGTTGTGTTGAAAGGGAAAGGCACACTCTTTCTGGGATCAAGCTCAATGAAGTACCCTGGCCAGCCTCAGGAGATCCCTGTCTTTCAGAACAGCACATTTACTATCCCTGTAAATGATCCTCACCAGGTAAAACATGTTGGATTTTATTTTGGTGGGATGTGCAATTTACATCGAAGTGTTTAATTACATTATGTTTCGATTTTTTATCGCAGGTTTGGAATTCTGATGAGCATGAGGATTTGCAGGTTATTGTGGTCATATCGCGCCCGCCTATCAAAGTGTGAGTATTCATTGCTTGAAAAAATTTGTTACAATCATGAATCTTTATAGAATTGTATCAGTTGTGTAATTTTTTTTTTGTCAGAACTCAGAATCGATCTTCAGAAGGTTGTTAGACATGCTATATGTATACTTCTGTACCTGATTACACCTGTAAATCTTGAACATTTTTATGAAGGGTAATAATGTTTCTGAACGTTGATGGCATTTCTTGTAGGTTTTTCTACGATGACTGGAATATGCCTCACACGGCTGCAAAACTGCAGTTCCCCATCTTCTGGGACGAGGAATGCTTAATTGCACCTAAAGATGAACTCTAGGCTATAAACTGCATATTGTTGTTGTCATCTTTGTTCAAGGTGCAGGCTGTAATTGCAATTTCTTGCCCAATGTTCAGAATATGTACCTGATAGCTTCTGAAATAAGGGACACTACTTCACAATGTTTCCATGATAACAATGCTTTTATCGAATCATTGATTAAAAATAATTTCTCAATTTTTCATCCTAAACATCTGATCTGAGCTTAGTAGCTTTACAGTTTAACATGGTTGAAAATGTAACAGAAACATTCAGGTAGCAACAGGCACACTGATTCAGTAGAAAAATAGCACACACAAAAAAAAAACTACTGAAGACACTAGCAAAGTAGCAAGAGAAAGCTACTATTCTTTTATTTTACTTTTTAAGGGGAAAAGTTCACATCTCTCTGCGTGTGGGCCCATGATTGTGTGGGGCCCATTGGTCATCGATTTATTTTGGAGTAAGGGGAAAGTTAATTTCTACTGCATTTCTCAGTTTTCGAGAGGTCTAGAAGAAAAGAGATGGAGACTAGAACTGGACCAACTGCCGCCGGCGGCCATGGCGCCCACCTCGCCGGCGCCGGCCGCGGCGCCCTCCTCCTCGCGCTCGTCGTCGTCTCTGCCGCCGCCTTCCTCCCCGTAGCCGAATCGTCCTGCCCGCGAGGTCGTCTCTCCTTCCCCGTAGCTCTTTCTCCTCCTCCCCCTATCCATTTCCGAGTTTCTTGAAACTTCCAGGTTTAATACTTCGCAAGATTAAAAAAATCTATTTAAAAGTTACAAAATCGTAGAACTGGCAAGGTCCTAGGTCCCTCATTTTGAGATGCGGGAAGTATTTGATATAGTTGTATGCAAATTAGCTCTTGAAGTTTTTTTTTTCTCTAGCAAAGTTCTAGGGATTTAGGTATGTCAGTTATTGCAATTTCTGAACTGTATCTAGCGTATTTCAGACAATTCGCTTGTGAAAGATGTTAGCAAAATGTACCAAAGCAACTATGGAAGGGAAGGGTTCTCACATATAACCATTGCTGGTGCCCTAGCTCATGGAATGAAGGAGGTGAGGAATGAATTACCATCAGTACTGTTTTCCCCATCCAGATTTGGCAAGAACTTATGCAGACTTCTTTTTTCGGATATACGCATTATAGGCATAGTTTCTGTGTTGAACTTTATTCGTAAGACACTGCGCTGATATAGATGAATACTGCTGTGATGGATGATTTTTTCTTTTCTTCTTGCATCTACCTGAAATGTTTTCCTTTAGGTGGAAGTGTGGCTTCAGACATTTGGACCAGGGCAAAGGACGCCGATCCACAGGCACTCGTGCGAGGAAGTTTTTGTCGTCTTGAAAGGGAAAGGGACACTCTTGCTGGGGTCAAGCTCAATGAAGTATCCAGGGCAGCCTCAGGAGATTCCCGTCTTTCAGAATAGCACATTCTCTGTTCCTGTAAATGATCCGCACCAGGTAGAGCGAATGATTGTGGTTATATTATTTACTGAATGTGAGACCTCCTGATCCTAGTTTGCACAGCTGTGCTGAAATTATGTCGCGAAGCTTACTGAGATTTCATTAGCATGTTTGATTTATTTGGATGGAGTGGGCAATGATGTGTTAGCGTTTGCGACTTCTCTTTCGTGGTGGCAGGTTTGGAATTCTGATGAACATGAGGATTTGCAGGTGCTTGTGATCATTTCGCGCCCACCTGTCAAGATGTGAGTGTAATACACACAGGGTCCTCAAAATTTTGTTTCATCCATACCAAATATATTTCCATGTCCTAGTATTTTGGACGATTTTCCAAATTCTAATATTTGGGTTACTTATTATGTGTATGAACCACTAATACATATACTCTATGTAAAATGGTGACCATGATATCATTTAAGGCCTAAATACCTACAAGAAATTGGCCCAGGACTCCAGGCTGGTTTGACTTAAATAATGATTGTCTCAGTTTTTTCCAAACCCTGGATGCACATATAATCTTATGCCATGAAACTTTGAAATATATTCTTGTGGCTCACAAGGATCACTAAATATGCTCTGTATGACCTTATATGCAAATTAATATCTTTGCATCTTGGGTAATAAATACTGTTCTGACCTTTCATGATATTGCTTGTTTGCAGATTTACATATGACGATTGGAGTGTGCCTCATACAGCAGCAAAACTGAAGTTCCCCTACTTCTGGGATGAGGACTGCTTACCAGCACCGAAGGATGAACTCTAGTTTCTAAACCGGCTATTGCAGTGTATCATCTTCATTCAAGATACTGCTGGATTGCGGTCGATACTTGCTGTAACTCTTTTCCCTTCTCTCTAATGTGCAGTTCTAAAATGTGTTCTCTTGCTTAATGTCAGGACTTATGTACTTAGAGCTTTTGCAGTAAGGACCACTGTAAGTGTAAACTAGTTACATAATAACGCTTCACTAATCCAGACATTATCTGTGTATATAAATAAATGCCTACACAGCTGGTTTCTTGTTGATTAATTCTTGGTACTGAATTTCGGATTACCAATTCTTCATTCTAGACTTCTGAGCTTACTGTTAACATGATTTAATTAACACCTAGAATGTGAATAGAAAGGTTAGAAGCCAAAAGGCAATCTTCTGTGAGCAACTGATCGTACGAACTGTGGTGGTAATGTGAACATCAGATCGAGGCAGCAACATATTCATATGACCCTTTTGAAAATTTCATGCCAACACATTTGTATTTCTATGAAAAGAATGATAATATGGATCAGATGGATTAGGGTTCCAGAACCAATTTCAGCCAGAAATCCTGATTCCTGATCAGGCCGACGTATAAGCCTGAATACAGTCATTACTTTTCCTTGTTTGCAAGCTGCTACTTGTATGACAAGCAGGGTAATATAAATTCACTACACTAAACAGCTAAATTAGTTTGTAGATGGAGCCCGAAATCTGAGGGAAATTTAACTATGTGCAGACAATATGACTGCTCTAATAAATTCAAGGTTGCCAAATGGATTCGTCAAGCTTAACAAAAAGGTGAGCTGCACAAATCTGCACATGAAATTGAGATCTCCATGTATGGCGATCACTATTTTCAATACCGAGAACCTCGCTGTGCATCACTTGCCGCTTCATGGAATGAGGCATCAGTATAACTAACAATTCCTTTCACTAAGGTTTTTTAGAATTCAATGGGTAAAGAATGGCTCACCTTTTGTTTTATAAAATTGACAGTCTTAGGAATGGTTGTAGTGTAGCGCAGCTGTGTCAACTATGTACATGTGTACCAACTACTAATCAAGAGATTGGTATAGGAAAACACATGAGGTCTCCAGTTACAAGACCGGGGGGCAACATTTTGAGAGCTAGGGTTCTTCGGATTGAGCACTTGGGGATTAGCGTTGGCCAAATCTTGAGCTTATTAATCGTGGTGGTTTTTCCACCTAGCTGGCTAGGCGTCACCGACAAGGATCTGTTCGTGTGGATTACCCAAGAAAGTTTGTGAAGGGTTTCCTCATCTCCGCAAGGAAAGAGGTAATCTAGTGAAGCCCAAGCTAATATCTAGGAGTTTGCTTCGTAGAGCAAGCTTCATCGAAGGAAGGTGTGAGTGGTTCATCCTTGGACATTGGTGGTCGGGTGAAAACCCACTAATACTTGGTGGTAGCTTGGAGATTAAAGTTTTCTCCTGGTCATTAGCTTGGAGAGGTTTAGGATCAATCGAGATCCAATTCCTTAGTGCACCTGAACGGAGAGTAGGATAGTTGGATCCAAACTTCAGAAAATAATTGTGTCTCGGTTGTGTTTTCATTCTTTCACTTCATGCAAAAGCTTTTTCGTACATCTTACTCCCAAGTCTCAATCTTGGACAAGTTTGTCCCTTGCACACATCTCTTGAGGCGTGTTGCAGAGGGACCGGAATATCCAGTATTAATCACCGACGTGTCCAGTGGCATGTTCTCGGAGACAAGAACATTCCAACCGAAGACTTCAGTAGTTAGGAACAAATATTCCGGAAAGAGAAGTTTATTTATGCTAGAAGTGTTCTTCAGGACTACACATTCAAACCCCCTTTCACCCTTTGTGTGTGTGCACGCGCTCGCGTGCGTGCGCGTGTGTGTGTGTGGAATGTTCCAAAATTGATGGTCTTGGGGTGGTTGTAATTTAGCGTGGTTTGCCAACTACAGCTAGTTTTGTGATGGTTGTGTTACCCTTGGCACAGATGGTAGTCATGTGACCCGTGTGGTGGGATAAAGGGTCCCCACAAGGCCATAATATGATATAGCGAGGGAGAGTGACATGCATGCATAGGAGTCCCCACTCTTCAAATTAACTTGGGTCGAAAAGTCTATAAGCATGGTGTTTCTTAATTAGCTTTTTGTTAATTGATTGTTTTGGTGCATTGTGGGGTCTAGGTGTCAGTGAGGTGAGTGTATGTAGTGGTTGAGATGCTATTTTGGCTAGGCAATAGGTAACTTAACTATGTGATGCTTAGCACCTATGTAACGATTTGAGCCAAGTCCCCCTCTCTCCAAACAGTCAAGGGGACTTTAGTAGATTGTTGGCAAGGCACACATTCCCTAACTAGTTACTTCCTTTGTATAAAAAATGTAAAGCTTATACTTTGAACACTTCCGTAAAAAAATGTAGGGGACACATATTTCTCAAAGCGCTGCTTATGGTATATTTAGCTTAATTATGGGTTATAAATGCATGTAACTAGAGTAATACTACATTAATTATGGGTATTTCGTAAAAAAAAAACATGTTTTCTTGGTATAAGAACCTACAACTATATACTACCTTACATTTATGTACGGAGGGAGTATGATCTTAGAATGTTAAGAAGTGCATATATTAAAGACGGTACATTTTTTTTTAAAAAAAACTTCACTTAAAATTTTGGGTTAATTGGATTCATGCCACTGCAAAATTGTCATATTAGAAAAATGCCACTATTATTCGCGATATCTGCTAGGTGCCACTGGAACTTTGTAAAATTGGATCCATGCCACCGCCATCACATTTTCCATCCATTGCCGTCACACCCAGTGTGGGACCCACACGTCAGCCACCTGCCGCCCCCGTCGCGCCCCTCCGCTGCCACCACGACGGCGCCGCCGGCATGGAAGAATGGCGCTGCGATGTGAGAAGGAAGAGGCTGTTGCTCATCCACGCGCCATGGCCGCCGGTGGTAGACGCAGCACCGGCAAAGGTCCGACCGGTGAGGAGGAGGGGAAGAAGGTGACGAGGGTGCTGGAGTGGGAAGGGTGCGTGGTGTTGCCGGTGCCGACGGCGACGGCCGACGAGGCGTGGGTGCTGTTGTCGGACTTCCTCGCGTTCCACCGCTGGCACCCGCGCGTCGCCAAGTGCCGCCTCGCCTCGCCGTCAGCGGCGGCGGCGCTGGCCATGTTCGAGACGAGGCGGCAAGGCTGGCGAGGCCGGCGACGCCCAGAAGTTGACGGTGAAGAGGGATACCACAACAGAGAGCACAGTGAGGGTGGCGTCGGGGATAGTGGCCAGAGGGAGCAGCAAGCGACGAGGATGGCGGCCGCCACGCGCAACCCCCACGCCGCCTGCTCCTCGAGACCGCTTGATTTCTACGCCTGCTACCAAGCCGTGCTGTCACATAGCCACGCCACCACGAGCAAATCCGAGATCCTTCTCGTCGGCCACCTCCACGTCTGCTCGGAGACGGAGTGCTGGGAGCATGCTGCTGATGCTTGCCTAGTTGCCTTGCTCGTCCGTTCTGACCATGTGGATCTACAAATTAATCACGGCTCACAGCCATAAGCACAAAATCACAAATTGTACTGCGAGGGCACGCCATGCGGCGACGGGACACCGCCGGACTGGGCGCACGAGATGCTGCTCGAGCACGACGCGGCGCGCCGCTTCTTCCGCTACGAGATGAATGGCAACAGTATGGGCTTCGGCGTCTTCTTCGCCATGTTCCGCGTCATCGTCGTCGTCCCCGACGCCGCCGCCGGCGACGCGCCGGGGTGCGAGCTGCGGTGAGAGTTCGAGGGCGACCCCGTGCGTGGCACGGCCAAGGAGTCCAACACTGGGGTGTGACTGCGATTCGAGAAGGAAGAAGTCGTTGCTCATCCACACGCCATTGCCGTCGAAGAGAGGCGATTGAGGAAGAAGATGGAGCTGACATGTGGTCCCACACTGGGGTGTGATGGTAATGGATGGAAAATGTGACGGCGGTGGCATGGATCCAATTTTATAAAGTTCCAGTGGCACCTAACAGATATCGCAAACAGTAGTGGCATTTTTTTAATTTGACAAAATTGCAGTGGCATGGATCCAATTAACCCTAAAATTTTAGGTAAGGGAAATGAACAATTACAATTATTTTCTTCATACATTCCAAAGGAATAAGTACTCTATATGGTATATACGACGTATGATCATTTGATTTATCACATCCACTGGTCTAATCAGTTCCAAAGGAGAATTCCTACTGATTTTTTTCCCATCAAGTGCAATGTGTGCTGGTGTGCCACACTACGGATTGCAGTTTGGCCGCAAAGCCACATGGCACATGACCATTCATTTATGCATCCACTAAAAAAGAAAGAAAAAAGTCCTCATCTCCCCGATTTAATGTGGCGGAGAATCGATAAGCTTTGGTGCATCTCAGTCGTCCGTTCAATTCCATTTCAAATACACATCCCCACCTACGGTCGAGTCCTAGCACCCACCTTTAGTAGCCGTAACATGTGGTCCTATGTGGATGGTAGGACCCACAGATCAGTGCCATTCCACTGCATAAATCCCAAGCAAAACACATATCATCTTAGCCATTCAAAAAGACTAGCACAAGAAAATGGCGAAGACGAAGCCCCCCTCCCCCCCCCCCAACCACCCCGCCAATGGCAACAGTCATCATGTTGGTGCAGTTAGCAACAACTACAACAGGTTCCACACTGAAGCACCACCAACAAGAGTGGGTGCGGAGGTGGTGGGGCAAGAGAAGCATGACCTGAAGATGGAGAAGCTCAAGGAATTATTTAAGAAGCATACAGGGACTTGGAGATAGACATTATATGTTCTTACAAGAGAAGTAACAATAGTATTCCCATACTGAAATGATAGTGAAGAAATAAATCAATATAAATCGCATTGGCCTAGCACAAACCAACATTGGGCAGGAGGTAAACAACTTCCAGCAGACAGATACCGGAACCTCCTAACTAATTATTCTAGGAGCAATAACAATTGTATATAGAAAAAAAAATACTTGGATAAAATTGTTGCGAAGTTCCTACCAGAATATCAACTCAATCCATTACTTCCATAGAAGGTATCTCCTTCTCAAACCCTCATTGCAGCACCATTCTCAAATGATCTCCAACAACCCGTTGTATGGTTACTCCCCTGACCTGCATTTTATTTGCTACTCTTGACATTCTCAATGTACTCAACAGTCCTCTCACCATGTTTACCCTTTTCACCATCCATAACATCATTATTTTCCATTGTTAACTACTCTAAGCTCATCAACA